AATGCATTTCCGTATCCCACAGCAGAGAGTTCCCTTAAAATATTGAGCACAAAAGAAGAACTTTCAAAATCACTTCCTCAGTCAAGCGCAATATTTAACAGTTCCTTACAAATTTTAAGTACTGAAGAAGGCCTATTAAACTCACTACCTAAATCAAGTACTGTTGCTAGTAGTTTATTTACTATTTCGAGTACAGAAAAAGAACAATCAAACTCAATTTACCACTCAAGTACGATATGTGAATGCAGCTGCCAAATAAAACAAGGTGATGATTCTTGCATCTGCAACTGTGAATCATATGGCCTTTCTATTTCTGTACCAATGGCATCACCAAAATCTTCACAAAATGAGTTTTTGTATTCCACAGAAGAGATCTACCATAAAATATTGAGCACAAAGAAAAAAGAACTTTCGAATTCACTACCTCAGTCAAACACAAGTTTTTTTAAAATTTCGAGTTTCAAATCATTAACTAATGTAACACCAAAATCCACAAAATTAAGTTCACTAAAAAGTTTGAGTACAGAAAACCCCCTTTCGAAGGCACTACCTTCCTCAAATACAGCAATTTCAACTAAACAAAGCATTCAAATTTCTCGTTCGCCTAAAATAACTCATGACGGAATAAGTATTATATCGAAGTCTATACCACAATCGAGTACAATATTAGGCAGTTCATTGCCAATTGCAACAGCAAAATTTTATCAATCTATGCCCCAAGAACTTTTACAACAGACAGAAATTGTAACTTTTCATACTCCTATCGATGCAAATATCCATTCATCTGAACAATCGGAAACAATGAATATTGTCTCAGATATAAAGAGCTTAGAAGAAGAAACTTTAACGTATCCAACTATTATCAATACAAATGTTTATTCATACGAACAACCGGAAACAACGAATATCATCTCAGAAATAAAAAGTTTAGAAGAAGAAACTGTAACTTTCCCAACTATTATCTATACAAATGTTAATTTATATGAAAAATCAGAAACAACGAATACAATCACAGAAATAAAGAGTTTAGAAGAAGAAACTGTAACTTTCCCAACTATTATCTATACAAATGACCATTCATCTGAAGAACCGAAAACAACGAATATTATCTCAGAAATAAAGAGTTTAGAAGAAGAAACTGTAACTTTCCCAACTATTATCTATACAAATGACTATTCATCTGAAGAACCGAAAACAACGAATATTATCTCAGAAATAAAGAGTTTAGAAGAAGAAACTGTAACTTTCCCAACTATTATCTATACAAATGACCATTCATCTGAAGAACCGAAAACAACGAATATTATCTCAGAAATAAAGAGTTTAGAAGAAGAAACTGTAACTTTCCCAACTATTATCTATACAAATGACCATTCATCTGAAGAACCGAAAACAACGAATATTATCTCAGAAATAAAGAGTTTAGAAGAAGAAACTGTAACTTTCCCAACTATTATCTATACAAATGACCATTCATCTGAAGAACCGAAAACAACGAATATTATCTCAGAAATAAAGAGTTTAGAAGAAGAAACTGTAACTTTCCCAACTATTATCTATACAAATGACCATTCATCTGAAGAACCGAAAACAACGAATATTATCTCAGAAATAAAGAGTTTAGAAGAAGAAACTATAACTTTCCCAACTATTATCTATACAAATGACCATTCATCTGAAGAACCGAAAACAACGAATATTATCTCAGAAATAAAGAGTTTAGAAGAAGAAACTGTAACTTTCCCAACTATTATCTATACAAATGGCCATTCATCTGAAGAACCGAAAACAACGAATATTATCTCAGAAATAAAAAGTTTAGAAGAAGAAACTGTAACTTTCCCAACTATTATCTATACAAATGACCATTCATCTGAAGAACCGAAAACAACGAATATTATCTCAGAAATAAAGAGTTTAGAAGAAGAAACTGTAACTTTCCCAACTATTATCTATACAAATGACCATTCATCTGAAGAACCGAAAACAACGAATATTATCTCAGAAATAAAGAGTTTAGAAGAAGAAACTGTAACTTTCCCAACTATTATCTATACAAATGACTATTCATCTGAAGAACCGAAAACAACGAATATTATCTCAGAAATAAAGAGTTTAGAAGAAGAAACTGTAACTTTCCCAACTATTATCTATACAAATGACCATTCATCTGAAGAACCGAAAACAACGAATATTATCTCAGAAATAAAGAGTTTAGAAGAAGAAACTATAACTTTCCCATCTATTATCGATACAAATGTTCATTTATATGAACAATCGAAAAAAACGAATACTATCTCAGAAATAAATAGTTTAGAACACACTGCAACTATTAACGATGATGCTCATTCATCTGAACAACCGGAAACAATCAATATTATCTCAGAAACAAACAATTTGGAAGAAATTTTAACTAACCCCAATGAATGGTCAGCAATAACTACAAGAATAATAACAACGAAATCTGATCAATCAAGATCAACGGAAAACCTAACGCATACTTATAGATCTTCATCCAATGTTATTGACATATTATCGACAAGTAAATCAGCTGTTCCAACAGAAAAACCAATCTCGAGCCTTTTGTACATTGAATATTCATCAGAACAGATGACATCATTCGTCAGTACAACGACTGAGGACTCACTCTGCTTGTGTACATGCCTTATTGATCCTGATGAGGATATCTGCTCTTGTACTTGTAAAATCACAAAGCCTGCAACGACTATGAGAAGTACTAAAAAGGTAAATACCCTTAATTCGAATATCTATTATTTTATCGTCTATGGATGATAAATTGTAAGTGTTGTAATTAATTTAATAAAAAAATTTCATATTTTTTAAGAATACGAAGATGCTTGAAGATTTGAAAGAAAAAAACAAAACAGGTGCTGATCACACTGCCAAATACTCTAAAACCATCGGATTTTCGTATGAAAGTCCTATAAAAAGCTCACAGGTAATATAATTTCAATTTTTAGCAATGTTTAATTTTATAATTTTTTAAGCTAATCAAAGAAATTGCGCGGGATGATATCGACAAAAGGATTCAAAGCCTAAAAAATAAGTATATGTTTTGGGAAAAAAATCTATTAAATAATTCGGAATTCGAAAAAGAATTCAATAAGCTAAATATGCTCACCAATCTGAATGAACACCCTAAGCATATCAAAGCTAGCATATACTCAAATTTTACAATTTACGACAAACTTCGAATCGAGCTGGAACGCATCATTCTATTTAAGCAGAACAAAGTTTTGGCAATTATAAATGAATCGAAAGCATCTCCAGCCTGTATTGAACATTATAAAAATATAGCTGAAAATCTTAAAACAGGCTTGGCCAAGTCAAATACTGATAAGTGGAAAATAATAAGAAGAAATCATCTCACTTGCCATATAGCTCAACATACTTCAACCAATCAACTATCATTCCTATCAACCTCTTCGATCACTTCAACCTATCAACTATCATTTCTATTAAACTCTCGAGCGGGTCAGTCACCTACAACAACAACAGCATCCGTAGCATTACAGTATTGTAATCTAAGGAAATATAAGTCCATATTTCCTAAACAATCATCTCAAAATTCAAGCTCTCAACTGGTGCGTGAACTAAATTTTGTCTGTAAAACTGGCTCAAACTTCTTTAAGTCGAACGTCGTGGACGATATACCGCAGCTCCTTCCGAAATCTCAATTCCATTTATGGAAAACGTATCTGAAATACAGAGACTCTTATTATTATGGTCTAAAAATTTGGTTAGGGTATACTCATGTCAATCAATATATTTGATTACAGTCGAACTTCCATAACTCAAACCACCATCTGCCAACAAGATACCTTGAATTAGAAAAACATTAATTTTTTTAATGTATTTATAAGTTTTTTTATGTTTTGTTTAGCTTAAGACGATATTACTTTTTGCTCCATTACGAAGAACGTTTAAAAAGCAGGACCGGTACTTCGATGTAAAAATAAATAATCTAACATCATTGACCAAGTAAGCCTCGTCTAGTGATCCTGATATTCCAGATTCCGGCAAAATCTATACGTTAAAACTATTTACATTTTAGCTAAGCGAATAAATTATCTGGAAAATGGAAAGAAAAAGCTGACATCAAGAAAAAATCGAGTTATGGAAGTTCGACTTTTGGAGACAAATTGGTATGAATTAAACTCACAAAATGCAAAAACACAGCTATGAAAAATTCGAGTTAGGGAAGTTTGATGCATGGAAGTTCGACTGTATTTTTGATTGCTTTTTGCTTTTTTCCTGAACAATAATAATTGTTTTCCAAGTTAACTATTAGTAAAAAAAAAAAAAAAAGTATACGAAAAAGTCGGATTAAACATAATCTTTGATCATTCAGGGCTCTATAATATGTGTTTTTGGCCTATGCTTATTATCTCTATAGATTCCTTATTCAGAAACGGATCCCTGCACTATAATACTTAAGAACATTGTAGAACTTCATCAGCAAAATAAAGGAAAAAAGGATGCCAATTTGGGAAATATAATTCAAAGGATGAACTTGGCAATTAAACAGAATCTGAATGATAACAAGAAAGTCCAACTAATCAAAGAATACATGGAAATGCAAAAATTAAGCAAATATCTTAATCACATTTTAACTGGTAAGATAGATGAATGCGATATGCGAATAGCAGTGGCTAAAAGTAGAAAGTGCTGGAATTACTACACAAAAATTAAAGCGATGTTTCATAAAGCAATGGAAGAACCGAATGCCAGAAAACAGTATTTAATTGGGAATATTTCTATGGGATGCAGCGAAAATGTCGTGTAAACAGATAAATTATAAATGTGAAACAAATAAAATGGCTTATGAATTGACTAAAGATTAACAACATCAAGATGTTTTATTGAAAAATAACTTTGTGAGGAACTTCAACCAATATTTTGTTTACATTTTAGCTAATAGTTTAGAATAGCATAAACAATGGATTCTGCCACAAAACAATACAAATCTTCAGAACGAAAAAAAAATTTTATTAGACATGCAATCTTCCATTAAAATAACCATAAATTTTCTAATCATTTGAAACTATCAACAGCGTTTTTCGATTGCCAATTGCCAAATATATTGCCATTGAATTGCACAAACATCATATGCTTCTTAATCTCTTTAGCGGTAATCGATAATTTTGGCTTCATTATATAACAATAAATAACTTTTTCAAATTAATTGGTATTTTAGGTGGCACTGTCCGGATCGGCAGATGTTGGATTTTGTCGTGTTATAGAGTCCTTTGCATCTAAGACAAAACAGCAAGTGGATGGGGTGAGAGTGGTACGCTTTTGAGGTAATTTTCCCATTTGCATTAGAAGTTCATCGATGCGTTCGCTTTTGATTTTTATTATACTCTCCATGTGAGCCAAACGCTGTTGATAGGCATCAATAATGACATCCTTAGCCTGACTATCACGCGCCTGTTTTTCGTATAGCGAATATAGTATCATTTTTTGTGGTACCTGAACGATGCCATCGCCAATTTGCTTGTTAACCACAACCGTTTTAACCTCATCATTTTCCTCCCAAGTCTGTTCCTGCCGCAATGACGCATTTCGCTCAACAGCTACACGTTGTCGTTTCTCCAATCGTATCACTTCATGCAATAGTATTTCGGCAGCACCACTAACACCGTTTGCCATTTGTTCCATAAAATCCCGGCTTAATGTCATATTAAACTTGGATAGCACCTTAAAGTTAAATGTCTCCCAATTGGCCAATTTCAGCTGAACACTACTCTTTTTCGGATAGTTATAGAGATCGACCAAACGTGGATAGTCACGTTTAAAGATTTCGGCCAATGGTAAAACATCAGAAAATTCCCGACGCAATCGTTGTGTATTGATTCGATTTTCTAACAGCCATTTGTTTACTTCCTCTAGTTCTTCCCTGCTCAGATTCTTGCCACTTATGGTATGCATAATTAGCTATATTCGCAACAACGAAGTTAATTTTATAAAATATTTTCAGTTTTAACTTTTTGTGTGGTAAAGGTAAACACACAACCAAATATCCGATGTGTATGCGATTGGGTATAAATCAGCTAAATTTTCAAATATATTCTAAGGTTTTAAATGGAAAATCAAAGCTATCTTTGATTAAGAGTTTTGTAATTATGAACTACATTAAGTTTTCTAAGCAATTACAATCTAATCACGATTTTGTAAAAGCTTATGCAGAAATATACCAGCTCAAAGTTAAGAAGCGTTTTTTTTGGGATATTTATATTATTGGGAAATGCACTTTACGACAACACCATGGACACAAACCCTGCTTTTCTTTATTGTACCAATTTAGTTCACCTCTTTTTTAAATATACAAGAAATATACCACGGACTCAATCCCGACTTTTCAGCATAATCGTCCAACGATTTAGATCAGTAATTGTTCATAATTATAACAATACAAACTATGGATAAATGTACTATTCTTATTTAAAAATATGGTCCTAAGATATATTCTGTAGATAAATTAAAAGCTTTAGACCATAATTTGTAAGTATTCATATGACAATAATTTTTTTAAAAAGAATATGTCAGATAAAAGGCAAAATTTTGTGTAATTTAATTTTTAAATGGAAAACATTCTACTAAGCAAACATTTTGTTCATATTAATAAATAATATAAATAATAAATATTAAAGCGAAGGCAAAAGAAACTTGTTAATTCCCTCCACAAGAATTTCCCAATATTGTATGAAAATACCTTGGTAAGCTTTGGGACAGAGGGCACATTTCTCCAGCTAGGGGAACGGTCCTCTGAGTAGCGGGTGGTGTATAACCTGAAAAAAACTCATTGCAAATCAACCATAGAGTTATTCACTCGAAAGGGGTTGAGTGTGCAGACAAGCTTTCACTCAGATATTCTCTGCTTTTCATTTGGATGCTTGGAATGGAGTCTAAAGTTTTTCCGAACGACAGTTCATTACGGTTTTCAAGGATAAGCGATACCTACGTACTCGCCGGATAGAGCGCATGAATAAAACGCACCCATCTGCGTATTTCTTGGCATCTCTTATGCCGAATAAATCAAATAAATTCTTATTTTTTTTTGGTTCGTGTTAAAGTGTGTTGATACGACAGAAAAAAAAGCGACAAGAACATATTTAAATGCCTGGATAAAGTACAATATTTTTTTAATATATTTTTTTTTAAATGCAAACTTAATGCAAAAGTGACAGTGTTTCGGCTCAAATGTGTTTCTGTGCCAATAAAGCAAGTGATTTTCTATTACCAACAGTTTCGACTTCATTTCTTGAGTGTAGGCAACAAAATAAAAAGCAGCAGCAAATGGTGAGTCAAACTTAAGATTGATAAGTAAAATATTTTAAAATATTTTTAACAAATATAAAAGTATAAAAACAAGTATAAAATATATATTCCCTGATATTCAATAGATAGTTAATTTTTTTCTTCTAAAAAATTTATTATTTCTTTTGGTGTATAGCAAACTTGAAATTAAAAAAAACGGGACTAACTTAAAATGGAACAAGAAAAATCGCCGTAGGCCACGAATATAAAATGTCCGCTACTCGCTGTCTTGCCATAAAATATAATGCCTATATAGATAGGCTTTCTTAAAAAAAGCCACCAAATAATCTATTAAAATTAGTTTTATTAGCGAAATTTAATATCTCCTTAATATATAGATAAGAAATTTATTTACTTTCTTTGAACAGCCATTTCCTGCTCAGACGTTTGTAACATCTGATAAATGAGCATTTGAACCCGGGGCGGAAAAAAGGATTTTTATTTGACCATAAACAAGACTGAGATTGATTTTGAGTAATTTTTCATTTCCAAGGCAGTTTTACACTTAAAGCCAGGTAATTTGCACAGGGCAAACAGAGAAGTGGTTTTCATGGCCAACAGTTTAAAAGCTGGAAATTATTCATACCTCATACTGAAATACGGGTCATGCCGCATGGGACTCTTTTTTTTCATTATTATATTTATGTAGGTTTCTATACCCTAAAGCTAAGATAGTTAGTTCCCGTGCCTTTATTTGAATAGTTTAATCCCATGGGCTTAGTGCAGCTGATCAAAGCTATTGTTTAGGTTCGGAAACGCGTCCTTCACTGCCTTCACTGCCTTCTAAACAAAAACGCTAGAAAACTGGGTCAATAAATTCCGAAAAACTATAATCAAAAATTTAAATCAAGATTAATAAAAATTCAAACCCAGACATCAAGATTTAAAGTCAAATCGTGGGCGTTCTATAAGTGTTTTTTTTTTAAGTTTATAAGAACAGAAAACAAGAAAAGAGTAAAATCAGCCACAAACTTAAATAAATATGCCACTTAAAATTTGGGAGCATCCAAGATGGTCAGTTTATGGGCTCTGAAGGTGTAATTTGGCCACCTTTCGTAAGCCATCTTGGCCGGCATAAAAATGGCCAAACAAAAAACAAGGCCGTCACTAAAATGAACAAATTTATTACTGGCTATTTGGGTATTAAACCATAAACTTTAACAGAGCCATCGCACTTTCAAATCAGGATACAATTTTCAAAGTTATATGTACTGAAAGTAAATTGGGTCATCTTTCAGCAAGCCAACACAAAACTTAGATAAAGCTATCATAAAAATAAAACCAAACTTTAAAATTAGTGAAAATATGGTCCCGAGAAGAGAAGTTCTGGATCAATTTTCTGGAAGAATTCTTGCTGAAAACGCAGTGAGTGGCGGATGAACTATTATAAAATATTTCTAAAATCAATTATTGTTTTAAAAAAGTCTATAATCCTTATATGTCCTTTCCTACATAAAAGGTGTTAACAAAGTTTTTTTTCGATTACTGTATTTGATTCCTTTTGCAGTAATTTAAATGGTAAAGAAAAAAGGGAAAGATATACTCAATCATCGATAAAATTCAGTGCCAGAACGCAGCTGAGTTTTTTCGGAACTAAGATGAAGGTTACTGATTTCTCTCGAGAACATTCCGTAAGTCACGTCGCCCCGTGCAAAGGATGAGGCTTCCAAAAGGATATAGGACATCATCACCAGCATCGAACGCTGCCCAGACGTTGCCACTATCCTACAATTCACAAACTAGTCTGAGCCTCCTTCGGTTGCTCGCAATTGTCTTGGTAATTGGATCGCAAGTTCATGTTCTATGTAAGTGTCTTCGTTTCATTTGTGTTTATATTAAAGCGAAAACTGCACCGTTTGCATTGTCGTTTATGACTTAGTTAGTGATTAGAATATCTCATTTAAAATGCTTATTTGAAGTTTCAACACATTAGGATTATTTACTAAAACTTGCAACAGAAAATTTGAAACACTTTTTAAGATAATGCTAATTTAAAGTATAATTTATGGGTAGATTCCTAGTCTTTATCCTAACTTCACCTTCCATGTAAACGATAAAATGAGCTTAAATTTAGTGAATTACATACCTGAACGACTATACCTCCATGATTCCTGATGATGAATTTCCTTACATTTAAAATTGTTGACCTTTTCCATCCAGGCACGGCATCCGTCGAAGCAAAAACCACCTCGGCAAGTACACAGCACAGAGACGGCGAAAATCGTACTTTCCTTTTTGATGACTATAATAAAACTAAAACGACATTATCAACCGCTGATTACTTGTCAGCAACAAGGACGACCCCTTACGCACATTCACCGCAGGTCCACGACCAAGAGCAGTCTGAAATGCCTGTTGAGGCGTCGAGCTCATCATCTTATAGCGCCGCCATTCCAACGAAAATGAGCAGGGATAAAATGACCATGGAGACATCGGGCAGCATGGAGATTAGCAGTAATAGCCTTCCAATCAAAAATTTAGGTACAACTGATCAGCTAACGACGGTGACAATGCCAACAACGGCATTCGCTTCAATGAAAATCGATAAAAGTACCATGAAACAGCCAATTGATTCAACGCGAACGAGAAATCATTGGACAGCAAGTGGTTAGTATGGTTTTTATATTGGAAATTTAAGTCTAATATGATTCACTGACTAAAATATTTTATATTTTATCGAAAATAAATCAATATTACCGTATAAATTTATATACTCGAGAAAGTTTATCTGCTTAATATGGATATAAAGAAGAAAGTTAATAGGCAATCGCTTCAGAATAGATTCGTATATCAAACGTATTGTTTTTTTTTTCTGGCATTACTAAACAAAAAAGGGAATTTAGAAAACCTTGCAAGTTTAAAAAATCCCCTTTCTTTAATCATTACAGGATTTGCCCGTGTTACAGAGCGACCCCGGAGCAAACACCACCACGAGCACCATTGGGGACCCTTTTTTGAGGAGCCCATCAACTCGGCAACTTCGGGCGACAATCTCGTATCCGCCGTTCATCTGTTTACGGAAGCGGTCCTCAATTGCCGTGTCGGTATGCTCAAGGACAAAACTGTAAGTGAGCTTCGTTTCAGAGAGGGGGAGAATGGGCTGAAAATACCCGGCTATTCGAGACTTTCATTTTGAAGGGCCTACTGGGATTTTTATTCATTTTATTTACCAATTTGTCTGATTTTTATACAATTTGTGGTCAAAAGTAAATAGTGGTTTTATTTGATTTTTTAAAAATGTTGGCTGATTTTTATTCGGTTTGTGGGCAACAGAAATTGATCAAAATAAAAATCACAAAATTAAAACTTTTGATGGTTCTTGATTATTTTGAAACACAAATGTATGTATGATGAATGTAATGTTTTAGGTATGCAATTAAAACCATCTGTTTTCTCTATATTTAGAAAGTAGTTGGTTTAGCCTTATAAGTTTAAAGTATTAAGAGAAAGTACAAAAACATATAATAAAAAAACATACATATGTATACCAAATGTTTAATTATACATAATTAGTAACGGCATTTATTTGCAAATTATTCCTAATAAGAGAATATTATACACAAGCTTAATTGAAAATACATAAATGTGCAAGAATAAATTATTTTCAATTAATAATTAATTACAGTGCAACAGTTGGACCCTAATTAACTATTACTTATGTACGTATGTATGTACACACACACCTTTGTTTTAGATGCTTTTTTATTTTTCTAAGCTTTAAAATGCATTCAAATATACATACATACATATATATGCACATATTCATAACACACACATTCACAGGCGTGGGAGTGGGACAACGGATTAAAGCACACACATACATACGTACATACATACAAATGTACTTTTCAACATTTGCCGAATATTTCCGATTTTAAACATTTAAACATAAAATACTTAATGGAGCATAATACTCTGACCTGAAATCACTTTTTATATCACTAATAAACTCACTTTTAGCACTTTTTAAAGCGGAAACAAGAACTGTAATTAAATTGAATTAGGCGTCCGTTCAGCCATGTTGCTTTTCCCGATATTCGCCAACGAGTAAAAAGAAATGACAGAGAAGCTGTCAAATTTCGGTCAAGTTAGTAAGGTAAAGAGGAAGAGTGAGCAGATAATAAGAGAGCCATTTTTTCCTTTTTCTTTCTTCCTTATTTTCGATCCTCTCTTCAGTTGTTTGCAAAAGAAAGATTGTCTTGGGTGGGCAAGTAAGAGAGGCACTTATTCGCAATAGAATTGAAAGTATTTAAATGTACATAGTAAAATATCGAATTTGTTAAAAACCAAAAACTACGAGTTATATAGAAATTCATTAAAATACGCAATATAAATGCATTTAGAAAAGATACCTAGAGAAGATAATAAATTATTATTATTGCTATTATATTCCCCTCAAAGTTTTTTTAATTTTGAATTTTTTTTTGTTAGCACAAAATAAAAGTATTTGTTGTTTATTTTTCAGGTCATGTGGGTAAGGCGAACAGCGGAGAAGGTATCACTTCTGACCGTTGGTAATGTAACCTACAGTGGAGACCCTCGGATTCGAGTGAAGTTCCAGTACCCTAACAATTGGCGGTTACTTATCAATCCAACTCAGTCTGATGATGCCGGAGTGTACATGTGCCAGGTTTCCACCCATCCACCTAGAGTATTCACCACAAACCTTACTATATTGGGTAGGGTTTAAATACATCGCTATCAGTTATAAAGCATTTAATAAGTTTACGATTTATTATAGAACCCCCTTTAAGGATAATTGATGAACATGAAAGGGATGTCGGGGATCGTTATTATAAGTCAGGAAGCACCGTCGATCTACAATGCCAAATATCACGTAGCTTTTTCCAAAAGGAACGTCAAACCATTCTAAAATCAACTGATTCTGCAAATGATTCTGTTCAAAAACTATTTAATGAAACGTCTAGTGAGCTTAATTTAATCGGTAACTCAAGTCAGACGAAACAAAAATTCTCTGGCCAAGATCTGGAGAAATACTTTACCAAGTTTATTACTTGGGCAAAAGATGAAGAACCACTCCAGGGAATGACCAATAAACGTTTAAGGTACATCTAGAAAAAAGGGCTGTAAAATTACATATTTTAAAAGAGTATTCCTATAAGAAAACTTGTTTTATATATTTCCAATTTGCAGTGTTTCTGACGTATGGCTAACTAGTCGTATTTCTATTGGTGACGCCAAACTATCCGATAGTGGAAACTATTCCTGTTCTCTTGGCAGACTGTTTACTGTAATTGTCCAGGTTCAAGTGCTCACAGGTATGGCATAAGGGATTTAACACATTTTTTTTCATATTAAATAAACTTGTTAATATCTTTTTAGGGGAACTACCAGCGGCTGTCCAGCATAATATAGCATCAAGGACCGAAATCTGTTCCCTGGCACTAATAGGTCTTCTACTTGAAATCATTTTCCTCTTGACTTGCCTGAAAACTGAGAGTCGAAAATTCTGAGGCATTAATCTGTAAACTCAAGCCACTCGATTTTCACAAAACAATTAACCAATAATATTAAGAATAAACGAGATTGGCTGGTTCTAAACAAAGGTTTTAGTTTTAAAGTTGAGAATCAGAAGGTGATTTCCCTTACATATTTATGTTATAGTGCCTACGGTGTAATAAGACTTAAAATTATTTTGACAAATATTCTTAAAAATTGATTTAAAATGGATTAAAAAAACACAACTAGGAAAAAACCAATGGTTTAAAAAATATCGTCGAACTTTTTCCTAGTTAATTTAGTATTGATGTTGAAATGTCGCACAGATGTTATGATACCTCTTAAAGAGTTAAGAAACTGGCGAGGATCGCAATTAAAGTCTCGAAAATATGTAATTTACCTTTCAACGACGATTTAAAACTGATGGATTAGTATATGTTTTAATAACTTTTGCTAGCAAATCAAATGTATGATACGTTACTTTTAGTTTTTACCACTAATTCACAGGATAACAATATATAAAAACAAAAAACGAAAACGATCTGATTAAAACCTTATGCGGTATACTACTTTTTCATCACCTATTTTAATGTTTATATTTCTGGGTGATTTCGGATTAATACTTGGGGAATTCCACTATATAATGATTAAATGTAGCTTTAATCCCACAAAAAGAGCTATAAAAACTATAAAATATGTATACATTTATAAATTATGTGTCCAATAATAACAATCTAATAACACTTTCATAATTGCTTTATTTTATAAAAACAAAATTGGTTTTGTTAAATTCAAAGGTCGTAGGTGATACACACAAAGAGACTTGTAAAAATGTTTCGATAGAAATTTCCACTTTGACCTTAATTATACTTAAAAAAAATATAAATGATTGCATAGATAGCTGGCATTATTTACAATAACTATTCAACAGGAAAATAAGCGAAGTTATGTTCTCAATGTTTTCACAGCAAAATTTGATCAGGCGTTTGGTATCCAAAACCATTTCTCAGATCGTGAAAATATATATGTATATATATCTGTCTATTACGCCTGGTGCTAAATTATTGTGATGGGGAGAACTCAGTTGGAGCGAGGACGCGGCAGTGCATCTCGCGGATCAATGGCACCGTGTAGGCCACACACTCGTCCCAGCCGGGTGATCGCCAAGCTGCTTCTCGGGTCTCCTTACGGTCTTGTAGAGATTTGTAACCTATAAACGACAAAGAAATATTAAAAAACAGTAATTATATAAATCATGCTATTACTTACACCAAATGTGATGAACATTGTACAGTCTTCCGATCTGCGAAAAGAATCCGGCGAATGCTTCGTTGTTATGCTTGCGATAGTTAATGGCACGGGCCCAGTTGTTTCCCCACTCGATCATTGTACCAGGGGTCAGTCGGTATGAACTGATAATATACATATAATTAGTGATATATTTTCAATTATATATAACAGACTTCTCCTTACCGCATTTCGTAAATGTTTTTGCCGGTACGACTAGCAATCTGCGGCCAGTAGCTGAATGCCAAGAGATATTGCAAGTGTCGGGATCGCAGGAACTTCGAACGCTCTTGCATCAAACTGAGATACTCTGGATCGTTCCATAGGTCTTCTTTGGCCTGATCAATTTTCTCAAAGCCACCCGTGTACTTCCAAAGGTGCAGGCATTGATCCATATCACCCACTTGCACGGTCCATGATGCCACCAACTCAGTCGAAAGGTTCGCCTTCTTGTCGTTGATCAATGCCACAGTATTCTTGCTATAAAAACGTAAAGTAAATTATTAATATATTTATTTTAACAACTTTTGAAAAATGTATACTTACTAGTTGTTTAAATAATTGCCCATGGAATCAGGCCTGACATTGTGCGTATGTAGGGCATATATGATTTCCTTATCGCTGAGCATGCGACTGTGCGACTCCTTGGTTGGCTCTATTTTTCGAACAAGCAGTTTTGAGAACCATGATTCTGAATCGTTGCAGGGCGAAGTGGTGGATATGGCGCTAAAAGTATAAAAAATAAGTTATTATTAATATTTTATACATTTTTTAAATTAACGACTTCAAAAAATTCTCAGTGGCAATAAAATCAGACAAACGACTTATAGATAAAAATTTTAATAAGTGTCTCATTCAGATCGAAGATATAACTTTTAATTTGTGAAAGGGTGCTTATCGAAGTAGGCTATACCTCAGCCAATATAACTGGAACGTAGGGAAATAAGATAAATAATAAGAAGGCAATTTCCTTTCCACTGAACAAAAAAATTTTTGAGAATTAGATCCTAAAAAATAAGTATATATAATATATAATAAAATTTAAAAATTTAGTAATAATAAAATAAGAAGTTTGCTTGTGAAGGGTAACTAATATTCGCACCGTTTTATTTTTGCACTTTGTTTTGCATCGTTTTTGCTTGCTGACGTCGTAACGGCATTTTCACATACATATAAGCATTTTGGAACTGAGCAGACATATTAGCATGTGGGTGTGTGAGAATCAGTGTTGCAATAGGTACATCTTGTACTAGTTAAGGTACTAATTATTCCTTCTAACACTGTAATTTGAATACAATTCAAAGAAGTAAAGTACTTTAAAATATTTCCATTAAATTTATACTCAACTAATTTTAGTTATCTTAAAAATCATTAACAACTTGTACCTTGGTACAGGTACTACTTGAAACTCCTCAACACTGATGAATATGTACATAGACACAGCTGTGGGCAATTTTTTGTATTTTGTTTTTGTTTTTTGTTCTTTTTTATATGCATGTTGTTTTTCTTACCGGACAGCGTTGTTGTTGCTGCTTTTGCCGACGGCCAATAGGTTACGTAGCCTCAACATTTTCGATTTATGTAGGGATCTGGGGAATAAATGTGCGAATATATATAGTGTGATATGAAGGTGAAAACTGGAATATAAAATCAGTTACTGTTATCATCCCGATTTGCCTTCTCCCATTGCAGTATGTGTGTGATCTTTTTATGTGTACTTTAGTCAAGGTGAAGTCAGAGTCATTTTAGCAAGTGCGCCGGTACATGGTATTTTTTTTGTAGCATTGATAATAGAATGTAGAGAAGGTTGTCACTTCTCAACTCTGTCCACATGTCCCCCACACCCACACCCCTTTTCATTTCACACAAAAAAAAATCTCAGCGTCCACAAAATTTATTTCAAAAATAATCACAAAAATGTCTGCTCATTTGTTCGGTTAAGCGCACTCACTTTATATATTGTTGCGTTGCCGGATTGTTAAAAACTAAAAAAATATTTAAATGAAATGTTAACGTTAAAAGAAAACAAAATAATGCGGCCTATAAATAATATGTAGTACAGCTGGTTTAACCACTCACGATAGAATATCGATGTATTGTGTACGTGCGTTTTTCTATCGATATGGCTGAGCGTAGGTGGTGCACGACAATGGAAATATCGATACCTAAGGATTACCTGGCATATCGATATGGAATTTTAAATAGTCGGAATATAGCGGGGTCCCACTGACCGTTAAGCGTTAAATTTAAATTTCAACTGAACCTATACAAAAATTTTTCTTTAAACGTATAAATTTTACATAACTTGTATAGTAATGGTAATTTCTTAAAAACTTTCTCTTATTCTATTACTTTAAATAACCGAATACTGCACAAAATATAAGAAACACAGTAACAATTCATTAAATCTTAAAAATTAATAAACTTAAAAATGTACATAGCTGCTTTTGCTGTTTATTAAAGAAGAGAGATGATTTCCAAATTTAAATATTAATTTATCGCATTTTCGTCTTCCATCACAAACATAGAAAATACACAGAATCAAAAATAAGAATATGGCGAACAACATAAAAAGGCTCTCTTAGTTTCCGTCTTCCTTCTTCTTTTCCTGGCCTACGTGACCGGCGTTTGAAGCTCTTGCAATTTTTTAATTTCGTTTTATTCTTTCGCCAACATTAGTAAAGTGCCCACGCATCTGCAGAGCGTCATCAGTCAATTTAAATAAAATGTAGTTTTTCTGTTTAAAAAGTGTTAAAAATGTGCTTATAATATAATTTAGAGTGAATTGCTGGCCGGTGTAGCAAGTTTCGATTTTAATTAATTAATAGTTTTTATTTAAATTGTTAAATTCGTAGTTTAAATAGGGCTCTTTTTTCATACACACAGACACTCACCCTTCCACGCTGAAGTACTGCCAGCCAAACATACAATGTAAGTAGAAAAATATATATGTACAACTTCAAAAAACAAACCTTCTATTTTAAGTATATAATATATCTTAAATATGTAAAGCATATTCATCTTTGCTTTCGCATTCTATTAAGTTTAAAGATCAAAAGATAGAAAAAAAAGCAATTATTAATCTTGTTTCCGTTATCCGAAACGTGTAGGAGAAGAGAGGATCAGGAATAGTAAAATGGAGGACATGTTAAAATGTCTCTCTTAGTTTCCGCTCTCTCTTCTTTTTCTTTTCCACCCACGTGTCAGGCGTTCGAAGCTCTTTTCAATTTTTTAATTCCGTTTTCTTCTTTCGCGAGCATCAGTAAAGTAACGCGTCCCTTTTGAATTCAAATAAATTCAAGTGTTTCGGTCTTAAAATGTGTTAGAAAAATGTAAATAATATAAATAATGTACGTAAGACATGATTGCAGGCCGCTGTGTTAAGTTTTGTTAAAAATTTATATAAAAAGATAGAAAAAAGCAATTGCTTATCTTGTTTTCCTCCTCCGTCTGGAGCAAAAGAGAGGATCATAAATAGTAAAATGGCGGACAAAGTAAAAAGTGTCTCTCTTAGTTTCCGCTCTTTCTTCATCTTTTCCTTTCCCATCCACATGCCCGGCGTTCGAAGCTCTTTGCAATTTTTAAATTCCGTTTTCTTCTTTCGCGAGCATCGGTAAGTACTGACGCGGGTGTATCGCGTCCTAATTTAATTCAAATAAATTGCAGTGTCTCGGTTTTAAAATGTGTTAGAAATATGTAAATGATGTACATAAGACTTAATTGCAGGCCGGTGTGTTAATTTTTGTTAAATATTTCATGTTTAAATGCTTCAATTCAGTGTTTTTAATAGCAAGTGCTCCTCAACTGTACACAGTCGTTCACACGAACATACATACGTATGTACTTATGTATGTATACATACATACATATATGTACGTATGTTGTACCGGTGTGTATATTTGCAGTTGCGTTTGATCTCGTGTTTTCGTTGGCGCAAATTATAACGGTTCTCTAATTAAATGAAGAAAAAGAAAAAAGTGAGAAGTTTAAAAAAGAGGTAAGCGAAAGATAATTTTCTTCTAAATAACTGACGGAAATAGGTAAGGTAAAAAGTTCTCTAACTATATTACCTTGGTAGGTACCTATAGGTACAGTGTTTGTTATTTTTTTCTGTTTTTGAGCTTTTATTTTGCCATGAATACTAAACTTGTAAAAGGACATCTGGTCTCAGAATACTGAATACTTATTCAACAGTGCGAAGAAAACATCGAACGTTTTTAAATTTTTTTTTTTTTTTTTTTTAACAATATCCAGTTGTTTTAAAAAGACGAATCGGTGATCGTAGCAGATCACTGACTACTCTATAAACAATATGCATTTTAATTATACGATAATCTTTATTCTACTAAAGGTAATACGAAAAATACTCATATGGAAGTTATATTTGTTACTATACATAGTACATACATTTTATATTATTTACCTCTATGCCTATTTCCACACACGTAAGGGTTTGTCATTTTTTTTGTTTTGGTTTTGTTTTAAATTGATTGAATATTTTCGGTACTAAGAATTAGATAGTACATACACGTTTATTGTGTGCTAATGAGGTCACACATGTACATTATTTCTTTCATTATTTTTTTTTTATTGTTTTGCATGTATGTACATCATTATTGTAATCACTGATATGCATTAATTTAATTACTTTCTCTTTCGGATTTTTTGGTTTTATGTTTTTTTTTTTTGTTAAACGAAAGCGATATATATGTATATATATCAATCAATATCGGTACCAAAACTTATTTAAATTGAAGTTTAAAACATAATACGTACATATACCGTAAATGTATGTATGTTTGCCTTCTCAGCCTTTGCTTATATATTTCGCGTTGTTGTTGTTGCTTTAATATGTTATATATATATATATACATACATACATATATATATACATATGTCTTATGTAACAGAAAATAAGCGCTGTTTGAACTCAGATCACATAAAATTTCATAACCAATTTGTTTTTGGTGTTGAGTTAGGAATATACCATATACATATGTAAAATCTAGACACGCATGAGAAAATATTTATTATATAAACTGTTTTTTGTTAAGCCCGATAACTTGGAAAAAATATAACACTTATGATAGAAAGTACAGTTGCTTATACGCTGATACTTTTTCAGTTTTATTATGATATATTTATCATACTTTATATATATTTCCGCTAACATCCAGAGCTTTCCACTAACCAATTTCCGGAAATACTATTTAAGAGTCTGTTTTTGTTTTTTTTTTGTTTTTGGTAATGCACATTTAGATTTATGTTGGAAATTGCGTATCAATAAAACAAGTTACCTAAAAAAATATATAAAAGTTACATTCGTAAATGAGTTTTGTCATCTAACTACCTATCAAAATATCTGTACTTATGAACCTTATCGAAGATAAAGTGGGCTTAAATATAGTTAATATTTTGTTACTTCATTACTTTGCATTGCGTGAGAGATATCTCTTCGTACATTTTACATACATATAGAAACATATCTGAGGTATAAAAAGCTTGTATTATATCTATATTCTTGTCATTCTTGTAGCTAAATACATGTACCAATGTCGATCTTTTACTTTAGTTAGTGAGTTGTGTCTACATCTGGCTTTTCTGTCTAATTTTCTGCTTTTTTTCTCCTTCAAGTGTGTATTAAAATGTTTTGCTTTGCTGTGGATTTTTGTATTTATTTCATATTGTAAAATATGTTTTTATTTTGTTTTGGTTTTGTATATTTGTGTATCTACCATAATGGTTCATTAAGCTTATTAGGTCGGTCGGATACAATTTCATCTCGATCGAGTTAAAATTTAAAGTTGGTGGACATCGATGATTAGGCGGTTACTTAATTTGAAAAATTTTCCCCATTTATGTACATACAGACATATGAATCATTTGCCATTACTACATCGGTTTTATTCACTTCACTTCTTATCTGTATCTTTATCCTTATCCGTGTCCTTACATTGTTATCACAATCACAATAGAATAGTTTGGTTTTTATTTTTTTTTTATAAGCAAGCAATCTGCAGTATTCGCATTTAATACTTTCCATCATTCTAATTCTGCCTTTCCGAATATTCTTCATTTCCATTTCTATGGTTCAGATTCAGGTAAAGATAGATTGGCAGATGCATACATTTTTTGGGGGGCTTTTACTTGTGCCATATATATATATGGTTTACTTAGAGAATATGGCATGTGAGACAATTTCTTCTAACATTACGAATATATGCTTGGTTTCATTCTGAGACATACAAAAAATACATTGAGAATCCGTTGAGTTGAACCATTTAGAGTCATTCATATGTATACTTGTATACGAATATATATATACTCATCATATATATAAAAGTACAAAATGTCTTGGTTTTGTTTTGTTTTGTTTTCTTGTTTGTTCTGTTTAATTTAAATATACTTTAATATATCTAAGAAAAAAACGTGCCTAATCCTTAATGTGTGCAAGTGTCAAATGTTGTATGTATGTATGTTTTGTCTGTAGGTACTTATGCGCTACTATGATCAGAATACAAAAGCTATAGATCTCCCCCAACAATGCCAATCTATAATTTCGTAACCTTTAACTTTTGAAAAACAAAAAAAAAAACGATAGTTACGAATGGATATACCATTGTGGGGTTTGTTTTTCTGTTGGCTTGGCTTTGATTTGACTCTTGTTCGTGGTCACAGTAGCTATAATTAGAAGCTTCGTTAAGGTACTTAAATGTTTCATTAAATTTCTGTTTTCAGTGGTAGGTTTAGATACACACATCTATCGGATGTGTAGGTACATATTCTCGAATACATTCTTCAAAAAGCTGAAAATCTTCATCCCTTCATATTTTCTATTAATTTTCCACATTTTTCTTTGTTTTGTTTTATATTTTTTTTTTGTGACTAGGCAATAATTATAAAAAAATGGAAAACTAAAATCGTTTTCTTTAACAAGATAGAATGAATTCCATTGCTCAATACATTGTTTGTTATCTCTTGTGTTTGTTCTTCTTCTATATTCTTAAAAGTACTTTCGTACCTTTAAATTCACTATACATCCATTAAACAACATATATATATATATATATACATATATATTGAGAAGTGAAATGATGTATGAAATGACATATTTACATTTAACTTATGTTTCATTTGGGGACTTAAAACATATCAACTAAAATGCTCTTTTGGTATTCTCGTTTTGTTTTCATATCGATTTTCATTTTAATTAAAGTAAGCACTTCCATTTAGAGCAAGGTATTTTCACATAAGCCCATATAAAAAGTATAAAATTTTTGGTTACTGTACTCGATTTATAAAAATTACAAATGTTCATATAAAAATAGATATATATATACAAAAAAAAAATAATAATTACAAAGTCAATTGGTAATACACACAATTTAACACACAACAAAAATATAAATATTATTTTGGTTTTGGTTTCATTTTGCATAAATTTTATCTAGGGTTAACCAAGAACTAGAAGTGACCCGACGACCTTGGTTGGCACTATCAATAAAATCATTCAAAGTCCTGTTACATAAAAATTGTTTTATGATTTCATTATAATATGAACGAATGATTGATTAAAGAAGGATTTTGTTAAAGGAAACTGAGGTTTTCCTTCTACGGTTTCTTAGAAAATTTTTTATTTTTTTTTTTTTAAAGTGAAACTAAACTTTCCTCGTCCTCTTTCCTAGTCTTTGAGCTTCTTAAATATTTAGTTTTAATTATATGAGCTGCAATTATATTTTTTAACTTAAGGTCTTTCGTGGGCCTTTTTTTGTATATGGGCAAAAGAAATTCTATTTTTACTCTGTTTTATTTATGAGAGCAGGGTCTTCACTTTATGTCTAGTCGTTTGAGCAAATGCGTGAATTATTTTTATTAGTTAATCATTAGTCAATTTGCCAGTATATAAACTAAAAAGTCGCCGAAAATCTGTCTTGGTGTATTTTCAAAGGTCAAAATAAAAACAAGTTCAAGTAAACAATAACTTACTCACCCAGAATACATAACCTGTACTAAAAGCCAACTTAAAAATTGTATTTACAGAAAGTTGTCGAAACACTTTTTTGATAGTATGAAAATTGAAAGATTTTTGTTTATATTTCGTATGGTATTTTGAAACTGAATACATTTCGAGTTAACTTTGTTTAGCAAGTTAACTTCAGATATATGTATATACAAAACTAAAATAACATTTTATAAAAATACAAAGAATTGGAAGAAGGACTTTCTACGGCAAAAAACTTTCTTCACAGGTCAGGATGCTCAGGGTGTGCAAGTTGCATCTCTATATTTATATATGGTCAACAATGTTGACTTCTTGTTTTCTCTTCTTTTTTTTTTGTTAGCAACTTGATCTACAAAAATGATCTTATTTTAATTTTACAACTAATTAAAAACTTAATGTAAAAGTTGATCCTAAGTTGGATAATTAAATATATTTATATATTTATATATATGCATAACAAGTAAAAACAATTAGTTGAGACATTCTAGTTGCCTTCTTTATATATATATATATATTCCTTTTTTTTTTTGTAATATTATTGGTTGGTTTTTTTTTACCATTTGCTTGTGATTTGAGTGTAGAGTGCCTATGGCTTGTACACCCTATATTTTTATTTTTTTTAAATTTATATTATTACTATATGCATGCTGCTTCGGCTGCTGATACCATAAAGAAATTTCACTTTGCTTTCTATGCTGAATTTAATAACAAAATAAATATTTGTATGGCTGATATATATATGTATATACAAGTCGTACATATCTACATTTATAGGCCCCACACACATGATGTCACTATTCGGCCCTATCTATATAAATATGCATCTGTATATACATCTGCATACAGCATTTTTATATATACACCTGGTTGGTGTGTGCATTGGGTGTGAACATGGGTGTGTGGGCGTGTCAACATCGTATCGAATTAGTTTTTGCATATCTCTTCTTTTTTTTCTGCTTAATTTGCATCCTTCGTTTGCTGTTCTTCATTGCAAGGACACTTCACTGCACTACTATTCACAATGGCAAAACATGTTGCTGTTTACTTGGATTCTATTTTGTTGTTTTTTCTTGTCCCTTCTCCTCGGATTTATGATGTCATCTATATCCATTGTCCACCACTTGACCCATCTATCCTTGATCATTTTGCACCGTCCTATATAGTCGTAACATTGAAAACGTTGGGACTCTTTGAAGGAAATCCCAAAACTGCATAACAATTCGGATCCGTATTCGAGGTGTTGAAAACACGAAATGTTCTATGTTCATTTCCCCGACGATTATATATATATATATATATATATATTGTTACTGCCCATGATGCCACTTTCCTTTATGACAGTTATATATACCTATGGTGGTGGATCATTTTGTTTTCGGTGACTAGTTTCAAGGGAACTCTAGTTGGCAACCAATAGTTGCTGATACGATGATCCAGTGCCGTAGAATGAGCTAATTCCGTCGATCAGTTTGTTATTGCTGTTGTTGTTATTATTATTGTTGTTGTTGTTACCCGTGGACGAGGACGAAGGATCCTGGGCAGCTGGTGGTTGAGATTGGTGGCTACTATTGGTGGAAGAATTGGTTGCTGTCGCCGTTGTTCCCAATACGTTTGTCGTTGTTGTCACAGCATTTGGAGTACTCAGGGGGCTATTGTCCGTGGATGAATCTCCGGCTATGGCAACGGCAACAGCAGCAGCTGCAGCGGCTGCAGCCGATGATGAGGATGTGGATGAATCGTCAAGGCCCACAACACCGCCACCACAATCAACATTCAGGCCAAAGCAACTGCCATCACTGACATTTGGACGATCCATTCCGACACGATTCTGTTGCTGTTGTTGTTGTGGATGCTGTGAGTTGGCATGACCATTGCCAAAATAGCATGGGTCAAGGTAAGCACTGTACTTATTGGCACCTCCACCGGCGACGGCAGCTGCAGCGGCAGCTGTGGCAGCACTTCCGCCCACAAATAGTCCCAAACTACTGGCATCCGCATTGAAGTGCGACTCGAACAGGTTACGTGGATTGCCGAATTGTGGGTACAGACCAATTGCCATGTTTGGATAATAAAATGGATCTGCCGATGTTCCAGTGGCTGATTGATTCGGATTTCCACCGCTCAACGAGAGTGGATTCGGTGATAGAGAACGGGCAGGCGATACAGCATCGAGTCCTGCAAAGGCAGCCGATACCGATGATCCTGCGGACGGGACAACTCCATGGCTATGATGCATCTGCTGTTGCATGGCACGTTGTTTGATGTAGTTGGAGAACTCAGTGGGCGACATGCGATAGGCGCTGCTGTTGATGCAAAGGAAATCAAATTAATAGTTTTAAAATTTGTAATCGTCGAAACCTATGAGGTTTTACCTAAGCATAAACATAGGTACTAAATAATATGTATGGCAATAACTTTTGCTTGTAATATTTACCTGTTTGTGCGCTTGGAGCTGGTCTTCAGCTTGGTGCTACCGAATTTAGTCTGAGCAAAGGTGGCCGTGGTAAATGTTAATGGAGCCTGGCCACCGCGTTGCATAAAGGCAGCTGCTGCGGCATTGGCGGTAGCATTATTTCCGGCAACTGAAACTGGGACGGTACCTGGACCGGGGCCCAGATTCGATCCGGAACCGGAACCCGATCCGGATCCCGCTCCGGAGCCGGAACTACAGCTGCCGGAAATCGTGGGATTCGGACTACCCTTGTAGGTGGGCGAACTGGAGGCAGCCGAGTGCGGTGATGATCCCGCCTGGGGCAGCGACAATGGAAGTGCCTTCGGACTCAAGCTCAGATTGTTCATAGTCGTGTTAACAGCATCGATGGGACGAAAACATTGAGCCTCGGGATTGAACATCTTGGTGACCTCTCGGTCCGCCGAGTGGCTGTCCTCATGGTTCTCATTGTTCTCCGTATAGAGTATCTGCGGGTTAGAATTTTTGAGTATTGTTTTTAGTTTTGCATCTTATCATTATTCTATTAAGTTATATTTTATCAATATCAACTTGGTTTTATAAAGAAAAAAAAAAAAGATTGTATTGCTCACGATGAAGTGAAAAAGAGAAGTCTGTTTCTTTCTTGTTTTCTCGTTCGTTTTGACGGTTGCTTACGAAATAAGATCTAAGAAATCTTGTTCGATATTTGAGAAATCTTTGCTGAATATAATGGACTATTTGAATCTCTACAACATTCGGATAATAAAATGAAAAATAGTATTGTAATTCAGAACTTAATGATAAAGAATAGATAACAAATGTTTTGCTTTTTACCTTCACTGCTCCCTTTTCGCCAATGCGGAATGAAACCTCCCCGGGATCAACCCAGACAGATAGTTCATTTGGCAAGTTTTCTAGTATATCGCCGATCGGTACTCCACTTTCCCTGGCCGCTCTTTCCAGAACCGAATCTATGGGATCGCCGGTCTTTAAGCATCGATAGGCAGAACCCTGTATGTTAAACCATAAATGATTTAAAGCATATATAGGATTGCATATAAATAATACTAACCTTGAAGGGCTTTTCTGGATACCAGTGACCCTGGAACTTGTCGCGTAACGCCTTCTCTAGCTCCTCGCCGAATATATTTACACGTCTGCGCGGCAATTTATTATAGAGATAGGATATGACAAAGTTCAGAGCGACCTGAATTTCAATATGCATCTTGACCCTTCGGTCGAACCCTTCGGCTACGGTATCGTTTCCACGTTCTATTCACGGACTCCGGCTCCGGATCCGGTATTTGGTATCTTGGTCCGTTTCCGGATCGTTTGTCGTCGTTATTGAAGAATTATAACGCAACTCACAACTTGCGTTTGCTAATGGATGTTGTTATTGCGATGATGGGGGACCGTTTTACAAAAGATCTTGGTAGATCATCCGCACATTGATTTGATGGTAATTTGGAATATCGCGCTTGTTTGTTTGTTTTTCAAATCGTTTGGTTTTGTTCTTTATATATATTTTTGTTTATTTTTAAGTTGTTTGTTTGTTGGCTTTCTTCCTTTTAATGTTAGTGTAGATTTATTATTGGTTTGCTTGGTTTTTATTTGTTGGTGGGGGAGGTTATTACTGTTTTATAGTAAATGTTTTTATGTGTCTCACCGTGTGATAATTATCTGTAATTGTGAGAGTTTCGCGACTAGAATGAGAATCGTGTTTGTTTGAAATTCGAAAAGGTGTGTTCCCTTCTCCTCGTTTTAGTTGTCGTTATAAGCGTAGTTGCCTAGATCCTAAATATTTTATATTTTGTATTTACAAGGCATAACCGAATATTATATTATGTACATATGGTATTATGTATGTGTCTTGTTTTCTACTTTGTCGACTTTTCTTTTTCTTATTATTTGGCAACGGTTGTTTTACCAATATAATTTGGTTGCTTTCCCCTTTGGTGGTGCATCTATCGATTCTCTCTTTGATTTGGCAATCCGAGCACGCTCTGTTATAGTTTTTCCATTAATTCGGCGGTTTTTCAAAGGCTTGCACTTTAATCAAATATTTGATGTCCCCTGAAAGGAAAAAAATAACGTACGGTTAGGGAAAACATGCAAGTATAGAATATATGAAAGAAAATTTTAAATTAATTTAAGACTCCAAAAAATCGTATATTAATAAAATGGTTTAATAGGGATTGCGCCTTGACGATTTCTGGCCAACTCTCTCATCTTGCTAAATAAGAAAATATAGCAATACAAATATCAATTTAAAACATATACCCTTTTTCAAAATATATAGCCTGCTATATAAAAATGTAGTCTATAGACTCTGTAAAAACGAACACTCGTTCCACACAAATCAAGTCACATATTTGGGTTAACCAGACACCCAAAAAAAAACACAATCTCCAACAGAAAAAAAACACAAAAAATAGGAAATCGTTAAGAAACCACAAATCAAACTATATATACAATACACAAAATACACAAAAAACCACAAATTAAACTATATATACAATACACAAAATGGCAAAACGAAACCGCGATGCGGATAATGTCAAACACAAGATGGACCTTAGGGTCAGATTTAAGAAATTGGTTAGGGCTGTGATTATGAACCAGTCGTGGCTATCCGACGAAGAGGAACAGGGCATCTCAATGAATGTTAAAAAGAATGTGGCTTTAATGCGACAAAAACGAAAACCCGGTATGCTAACCTTAGCGGTAAGTTTTTAGTGTGCAAATAATTTAATTTCATTTACATTAATATATATTTTTAACATTTTAGGATAAGGCACTTTTGCGTTCAAATCCTGTTTACAGAACAATTGAGGAACGCAAGAAGGTTTGCATGCTTATAGCAGGGCTAAACTGTTTCGCTAGGATTCCGCCGGTAATAAATATATATTTAAACTTGATTAATAATATAAACTAATGTTCTATATTGATTTTCAGAAAATTCGGGCACGCATGGTGCCAGTTTTAAAGTTTATGTCCATCAACGAATCACGAGTAATAATCAAAAACAATGATATGCCTTTTTCCGTCTATTTTATACTGAATGGTGAGGTCGAGATGAAAAAAACTGTAGTTAATAAGGTAAGGGTTTATAGTTAATACGTAAAAATACGTAATACCTACCAATAAACACGTTTTGAGTCATTAATTTTGTGTATTTTTGTTAACTTTTATATTACATTTTACTGAGAGCATCCAACCGAACTGAAAGACATAGAAAGAAAGAAATTTTAATCAATAAAACAGAGATATATAATGTAGAAACTATAATAGCCTCTAAGGAGCCATAAAAAGATATTGTCACTTTCTTCTTTAGACCACAAAGCAAGAAGATTCAGTTTCAGAGGCTATCTTTGGTCCAGGAGATTGTTTCGGGGACGTTGAGATGGTTGAGGATTGCAAAAGAATGAATACTTATGTAGCCATGTGTAAGAACTAAAGGTCGCTAAGGTTTCTTTATAGTAATTTAATTTTTTTTTTGTTATTATTTAGCTAGCTTAGAGGTCTTGTCAATATACGACGTAGACTATGAACGCATCTTGAAACCATTTATGTTGAAAATATGGAATGAAAAAAAACTTGCACTAAAAGCATTCGACTATTTTGATTTTTTAAGCCCGGAACAGGTCAGTCGTGGTTGGTTCTCAAATTTCTATAGTTACTAAAATTATACACAAATATATAGATAATTTTGGCTTGTAAATACTCTTATTTGGTTCAATTTGAACCCCTGGAGACCATTTATCTGGGGGATGAAGGCGCTTTAGGTTATGTGCGATTTGTTCTTAGCGGAGAATGTGTAATTTTACAGTGTTTAAATATGAAGGTAAGTATTGTTTTTAATTTAAAGAAACCTGAAAGATATACATACTAGTAATTGTTTTCCCTTGTAGGTTACTAACGACGACGGAAAGATCAACTACGAGCTGACCGAAATCAACAAGAAGGGACTTGATATGTTCCAAACATGGAAGGATATGAGTAGTCATGGCTCATTTATAGACATACAGGACATATTAGCATCGTCTTCCTCGTCTGATGATGCCGACGGTACCACAAAAAAGAAACAAGCGGTATATATACGATACTATCATCTTTAGATACTACTATTAATCCATTTGAATAGATGCGCAAAATGGGTCTTGCTGAGATTCAAAAGTTTTGTGGCATTCGCACTTCTGCTACACCAGCTCGAAAAAAACCGAAGTCAAAAAGAATGACTACGCTGGCACAGGCAAGGAAGACACAGTTGATACAATCACTGAGAAGAGGAACTCCATGGTTGCCAAGTGTATCAGCTGATATCGATGATGATGATGACGACGATGGCCACGAAGATTATTTGGATTACGGCGAAGATGGTATCTATGATGAGTATGATTCTGATGATAGTTCATTTGACTCGGATGATATATCAATGGATAGAGCATTGGTTCAAGTACAGCTAAAACGGCACAGCGAAATAAGTTCAGATAAAGAAACTTCAATAAAAAAAGTATCTAGTTCATCATCAGAAATATTCACCGCTAGTTCGGTCATAATTGAGAAGAATGATAACAAGGACGAGGATGTGAAATCAATTTCTGTAAGTATTCTCAAATTTGGTGCTAAGTATTCATGATATTATAATCTTTTTAGATCCCTATTGAGACTCACTTTATAGACGTAGGCTCACTGACCTACGGTAGTATCTTTGGTCTCGGCGAAAAGATGGAGCATCGTGTTATCATGGCCCGTACAGTGGTTCAGTGCTTGCTTCTACCGCGCTTTTGGCTACTCGAAGAGGAACAAAATCCGGGGAACATATGGCACCGTCGTCGATTTTACTTCGAATGCAATGTCCCATCACGTCAGGACCTATTTACTAACTTTCTTAAGACTCGGCAATGGAACAAATTTCGACATGACTATATTCAAAGTCTACTGAATCTTGAGGAGAAGGGCAACATTACCAAGGAGGAGGATATACCAATTATGTGTCGCATTGTTGAGACTAGCGATGATCAGCATAGTTAAAAGTTTGCTTCATGGACTTATGTTTAATCTAAATTCTCTGTTCTCAAAGAATACAAAATGGAAATCTATTCATAACTGCAGCCTATCATTTCTTTTAGAATAAGTTTATGTTTGATTGATGCCTTTCTTCTGACAAAAGATGCATTACAAACGCCTGCGTGCAGGCAATATTTTTTAAAATGCGTCTTAAATTGATTATACTATTTAAAAGATTACTGTATCGTAAAAAGGTGTTTCCTTTTATTTCTTTATTGCGTAAAGAAACAAAGCACACCTTGAAAAATATGGTCTTCAATTTTTTTTTTATGTGTGATGTAGTATAAGTTTTTGGCTTGGGTACCCCCAAGATATTACACCATAATATCATAAGCGTGCGGCATTGTATCACCGTTTAGTATAATTTCGAGCTCATTGTAGGTATTCGTTTATGAATGCATTTTCTGCAGCCAGCTTATTGTTCTCTGTATGTGTGCATGCGCTCTTCCTACGTCATTCAAGGAATTTAGGTTAACTGTTTAGCCGAGAAGGGAGCTGTGCTCCGAAACGGGACTGTCGAGCAGACAGTGCTAATGCATTCGGGAGCGAAACTGGAGCACAGCTGAGTGCCAGACTTGAACCCGAACACCCACATAACGGTAACGGAGGCTAATGAGAGAGTGAGAGTTGATTGTGGACACTCTCCTCGTTCCACGCAGCTGATCCGAGGGCATATTTGCAAGTACGAAGCGTATTTCATAACCTTCGGGTGTAGAATTTTCACAAACTGAGCCATTTAATGGGAATTGAGAGAGGGAAACATAAGCAATAGCAGATGATTAGCAGCAAAGCTATACACTTGGAAAAACTAATGCAGTTTACACATTAAGCTGGTTTTTTACGATGAATCAGCAGGCTGATTCAACGTTTAGCCTTAGCTAGGCTTTCTGCTAGGTATATTTATTTCGATACGATTTTGGAGCACATGATTAGAGTTAAGCTTCTATCTTGTATTGCTTTTAATTTTAATTATTTTGATATTTCGTTCGACCTTTCACAAAATTGACTTTGAATGGTTTTAGAACATTGTTATCTTCACTTTCACTGTGTACAAAAAGCGCTCTTTCTCTGAATTTCTCTCGCTTTTCTCCATTAGTGAGTAAGTCCCACTGCGCAGTAACATAACATACATACGTCACCGAGACCTCAACACGCACCCACACAAATATTTTTTTTTTTAAGCACTACTGCAGCTGTGTTAATGCAGCGGGGTCATGCGTGTTTGTATGCGTATATCTATGCATGTACATAACCTGCTTTTTTGCGTTTTATAAACCAATTGAAGGCCACATGCTATGAAAGGCATAACCGTTACGAAGGCTTGACATTTGCCTTCATCAGGTTATAGGTGCAAACAGTGGATTACGGCTTTATTGAATGGCTAATGTTAATCCGTTAAGTCAAAATGCGATTATCCTATTCTCATTCATTAATTTAAAACTTTCTGAGCAAGGGAAATCGTCATTACGCGCACAAAGTAGAGAAGGTTAATGGTCAAAGGTCAAACGGGCTAAAAATAATGGAAGTCTAGAAACCTCTTAACACGGTGTTTAAATGTATGCACATATAATATGACGGAGTCTGCAAGTTTAGGGTTATACGAGTATTCTAAATAGCACTGATTTTAATATAGCATACTTATAGACACCTGAGGTGGTTTTAGGAGGTTTTTGTGATTTTTTAACACCTTTCTTTAGTTTATACTTTTGTTCTTTAGCTAGTAAATTTATATAAACAAGGTTTTAAAACCAAAGCCACTGTTTTGAACTTGATTCGCGCCAAAAATATTATGTTCATTTCTAAATATTGGTTGTCGACACAGGCCCCTTCACACTTCACACTTAAAACTCACTGTTTTCAATTACCGAATCAAGCGAACAACTCGCCTGTTGATGCTGGGAAATCCGTAACTCTTTATTAGGTCAAAAACGATAGGTCGCCCTACGACAAGCAGTTATAGTCATAAACATGACACAGAAAATAATATTTTATTAAAAATTTTAAATCACTTTTAAAAATTTGTGTAAAACAAATCAAAGAATTTGAACTTTATCACTAAACCCAACTCTGCCAAGTGCCGAAGGCGAGACTCAGTTGACATTTTACCTCATATTTCCACAAATACATCCCCAAGCTCAGAGTTCTTACACATCCTTGCATATATTTTTATATATGTATAGTCAAATATATATATTCAGGTTGCTGTTGCTCGTAGTGACTGGAAGGGGCAGAGAAAGTGAACTCTCTCAGCTGATGGCCTTTCTCTCACCCTCGGTAAAATGGTATCACAACGGTATCTCTATTTCTCAGTTTGCCACTCTCCCTGAGCGATACTGCACTCTTCAATGGACTGTGTGGGTCGCTCTTCGCAACATAAAATCAATAAAATCTGGGCCACCAGTTTTAAAGGTTGATTAAAATGACATGAAGGCGTCTTGTTTGAATTCTTAAGCCGAAAGCCCATTTATATATGGCCAAACTCCGACTTCTACATATATAAATATATATATATATATATATCTTATATATCTATATTTGATGTCTACCTCAAAATCCAATTGATGTGGAGCCTCCGATTTGATACTCGTCGTGGCACAACCACAGATACTACAACCGTTTAAAGACGTATTTTCCCGTGTCTGTACATAGCACAAAAGTGAAAATAGGGCTTTTCAAGTTCACTTGGGTAGCACACACACACACTCACGCGCAGTGCGGAGTACATAGATTAATGTAAATGCTTACATAACCCTGCATTCACATTTGCATTCACATCGAAATCATGGCGGTTACAAATCAAATAAAAACAAATCTGGTTTTTAGAGAAACGACATCTTATAATAGTGATGGATAAATCACAGATTTTGAAATCACTTTTGAGGGTTCATAAAAGTATGCAACAAAAAAATGTGAGGCTTGTTTTTAAATTTCCTTATACGGCATTTAAAAATTGTTTAGTTTCTGTTGAAATTTGCATCTTTTCAAATGCTAATATCTGTTAATGTCTTATATATATATTGTAAGCTGACATATCTTGCAATTTGTAAAATATAATAACCAACTTGAACCTCGAATTTTCGAATAATTTTCCCATTTTAATTAGGCATGGTTGAAGTTCAAAATCTGAGTGTATGTCGTCGTTTCTATCGTTTACACGGTGTAATTTGTTCGGAACAACGCTTTTGTCTTCCAATTAGTCAAATTAAAATCAATTAAGTTAAGCTCTCAATTTGCGTGCCAGTAGAATAAGTAATAAAGGGTATTTAAAGTACGACTATTTGCAGACGACTATTTGCTCGTTTGTTTGAAGATAATTAGATGAGGTTACACAAATGTTCATACAGCTGTATATATAAAATTTCGACTTTTCATTTACAATTTTTCGTCTGTTTTTGATCTATACAGGTGGGTCTGGGTCCATTATAGCGTAACGAATGCAATTGAAAATTGTGTATAAAAAAGTAATATTCTGATTAATAATAATATTAATTTTGCTGTTTACATACATATTTTCAGTGGTTTATTACGTTTTTAATTAAATTTTTAAAGACATTTCTATTATCTTTCTCACAGCTGTATTTACATACATATGTACATACCCCCATTCTCACCAATTGCCAACTTATTTTGCTCTTTTGTTTTTGTTTCGTTTTTGTTTTTTATTGTTTCTCATTTGATTTGTATTCTTTCTTTTTATATCAAAATGTAATACACTTTTCCTTTAGGAATAGATTATCGTCTTTAAATAGTTATTACTGTGGGCGGAAATGCCAAATTTAAATGAAATTCTGAGCACCGTGCAAACGGCAATCAAAGTAATTATCGGACATTACATAAAACCCTTTAGATATAGAAAGATCTCTTTGATCTGGATCCAAATGTTAACTGCTCTAAATTCAGTCGCACTAGACATATTTTTATCGACTACAAACAACAGCAACCACAACAACAACAAAAAAACAAGAAAAAACAACAGAAAGCTCTGCGATTTTCAATACATTGCATAACGCATTAAGGTTTTTCCTTGCAGCATTTAGTGGTAAAATCACACTCACACGTTATATTTGTGAATTTGAAACTTGTGGATTGTACACATTGTGTATTACTTCAATTTACAAGATCATCACAAATTATTTTTAGTTATTGCTTAGCAGCATTTCCCGCAGTTTTATCGAGCGTTGTGTGGAGCAGGCGTTGCTCTAATTTTTCCCCGATTGGCGCAGGGGTATTTTCAAACAAGAGCGAGAGAGAGGCCCAGAGGAAAAAAACAAGACAAGAAAAAAATACAAAAAAAATGAGAGACGTGCTCAAGACAACAGAAAACAGCTGACTGAGAAAATTAGAATGTGTGTTTGTGTCTGCATGAACTATTGGCATTTTCACGCTTCCTCTTTTTTGTGTTATTATTATTATTATTATTATTTATGCACTACACTTGCCAAAATGTACATATATTTTACTTGGTTTTTATTTCGTGTAGGTCACATTAACTCATAGGAGGGGCAACAAAAACAAAATCAGCTGTTCATATTTAGACACAACGGCAAGATGTTGGGACATTTTACCTCACATTAGCAAACAAACAAACAAACAACAAAAAAAAAAGGGAAAAAACATTCAGGCACATGATTCTCGTTCGTTTATCTGAGCAGCACACACGAAAATTGAAATGACAAATACACTGTCATGCCGGAATATCTATACACACACTTGAATGTGTATCTCGCACAGTGTATAATTTTTTTCTGTCTGCATGTCTCTAAACGTACGTTGTAGATACAAATGAGCTTGCGACGAACCCCGCGACAAAATGCCAAATGATGTCTGGCCCCGGGTTCGTATTTTGGTTTTGGGGTTTTCTTCGTTTCTTTTCTGGCAAAAATGCAAAAAAAAAAAAAAGAACAACAACAACTGCAGCTGTCCACTTTTCTCTCAACTTGCAACAATCGCTATCGAATCATCGATGCTGCCTCAAAAATCTTACGCAAATGATTTCACTACACATGCACTATTATAACATTCGTTTTTTTGTTGTGCAACAACTGTATTAGTCTGCGGGAAAAATACAGTGGGACGTCCTTGGGTAGGCTTGTGTATTTGTACAGTTTACAATGATACTTTGCGTACCGTCTTAAAATTGGATTAAAGAAATTTACCAAAAACATGTTTAATAGTAATCAAAAATTAGTTTTGATATATGACAATTTCAGAATGTGGAATATATTTTTGTTTTAAGCAGTACTGACTGTATTTAGGGTTCGTTTCCGCAGCAATCAGCTGTCAGCTGTAGCTTATAAGCACGAATTATGACAACAAATTGTGGGCGAGCAAGAGATGTGAAATCTTGCGGTATAAAAAAAGTACTTTTGAATTAGTTACCGCCAAAAAACTTCCTTTTTCCAACTTCTTTTCGAAATAATGTATCTACATACATATACATCTTTTGATTTGTAAAAGCCAACTTGTGCCAATTTTAGTTAATAAAGTTTGAATGTGTAAGAAAGGGAGATAAAGCTATAGTGTGCCTGTTCCCTGGAGTAGAACTCTACCCAATGTTAGTGACGAACAGCTGTCCCTTTCGGCGCTTAAAAGTCCCAGTGCTCTAGTGAGCGCCATAAACGACAACAAAACAAGACGATATGAAAACAGCCGAGCGAAAGTGAGAGAACAGATGCTCCCCATCTCATTTATTTATTTTTTTTTTTTGCTCTAACGCAATCATTGTTATTGTATTTTCTGTTGAGGGGGGTGTATACTTATGTATGTATAGGTGGGGGATAGTTCTCTGCTTTCTCAATTCTTGCACAGCACCCACACGGCAGAACTATTGCATTTATTTTTTGGTTTTTGGAAAAAAAAATTATATACTTTTTGTTTTTTGTTTGGAAAATACCGGTTTAATTTGTTGATGCTAGTTTCGGGCTTCAAATATTCTGGTTATTTAAGTTGCTACTGTTGTTGTCTCCTGGTCGTCGTTGTATTTGAACGAAGGGTTTGGCGAGTTATGTATAAAATAGCCCAGTTGTTCCAACTAGTATGCTATTGTTTTTCTTTTTCTCTTTTCTTTTTTTTTTGGTGTATGTATGGTTATATGTATGTGCTTGGATGTCTATTTATTCATTTCTTGTTTAATATATATTTGTTGGGATTTTGTGGTATTTCATTATTATTTTCGCTTTTGGGTTTTTCTGTTTTTCTTATTTGTTTGAGTTTTTTTCTTTTATTTATTTTTTTGTGAAATGTCTCTGCCCGTTACTTAATTGTAGCACACGCCACTTAGCAAGGGCCGAGTGAAGCGTCCGTAGTTCTTGAAATCGGTTTAGTAACTGAGACTGAATTGACGCGCGAACGAGCCTCAGTGAACCAACAACAAAACAAGTGCACACGCACACTTCGGCACTAGCACCAAGCATCACCCCCAGTCCACCACCACCTCCACGATAATTTCATTCGGCACTACGCACGAATCGCTCACGAAGCTAAAATGTTCTAAACACGGTTACTCTCTCTTTTGAGCTCTCTGGTTGCTTTTTGTGTGGGTGCTTTTCTCTCGACACATTTATACCCTTAAATAGAGGATAATATAATTTTAAATAGAAGTTTGTATCTCCAAATTTTTAATTATTAAATATCTACATTAGACATTTATGAGTATCTCAAATCGTCAATATTATAGCTTTCAGGCTAGACCTTCCAATAAGTAATTTTCTAAATGTAGATACAAGTGCAGATATAAACGAAGTTTGATAATTTCGTTCTTTTTACAACTTCAGGGTTTTTTTTTATCAAATAGCAACTGTATGCGTTGGCAATTGGTCCACAATGATAAGATATATATCATAAAAACTGTCTTATCATAATTGTTGTTTTTTCTGGTTGCAATATATATGTAAACGAACGATATAAAAACGATCGTTTATGTAATTGCTTATATATGAAACCTTTTTTCGTATAACTACTAGACTATTCGAACTTCGGCTTGTTAATGTTAGTTTCACCTCATGTTTTTGTATCATTTGAATGCTCTGAATAATGTTGCGCGTGACTTTTCGAGTGCGTGTGTAGGTGTGTGTGTGTAGGTTGTGCTCGTAGTAAAATCGAGCCTAGAAGGGCTTGCGCGATGAGTGCATGTCCTTCCATGGCACACTTTTAGTACAGATTCCCTCCTGACCTCCTCATCGACGAGTGAAAACCAGAGCCATCGAAAAGTCTCTCTCTCTCTCTCTCTCTCTCCAGCTTTTGCCTCCATTACGCCCCCTTTTATCCGAAAACTGGGGCAAGAAATGAAAGTGCATGAGCACGTAACATATGCGTACACACAAAAATAATGTGTACATTAGAGTGGACCTCCGTCGAGTGAAATGTGAAAGGTCACACCTTCAAAGTGCCTTTGTGACGTTGTTTAACTATAGGAAGAGTTAATTTTTTTAAAATCATGTATATTAAAGTCAGTTAGTCTTCAGGAACAGACTAAATGGATTTATTCCACTAATAATTGTCAAAAGAAATATTTTTCTATTATTTATTTTGAAAAGAAAGGATTTAACAAAAGTTCTTGATCACCAAATGATATACTAAATCTTATTTAAGGATATTTTATTTATTTCATCGCAAAACATTTTGGGTATACATTTATACATTTATTTATATATATACGCTTAGATTTTGAACGAACATGCATACAAAAATATTGTTTTCTGTTCTTTAAATTTTCTTTTTTTTTTATTTTTGTTTTGTTTTTATAGAATTGGCTTTCCAGGAATACCTAATATGGTACAATAATTTATTTTTTCTAGACTAAAAAAAAATATTAGTATAGGTATCACAAATATATATGTATGTATATATCAATACATAATTTTTTTAGCGAAATCTAATGTTTCAAAGGGATCATTGATATACTCGTTGGAAAGGAAATTGAGTTTGCTTTAATGACGGCCTATATACCAAGTGAATCAGCACCTGGGTCGGTCTGTCTCTTAGGTTGAGCTGGAACTTAGTAGAAGAATCACACCCTTAAGTGGGAGGAACCGATATTATACAAAGATATCGTTTACAATTAACCAAAGTGGTACAAACATTTCACAATTTCTAAATGCTTAAACCATTTTAGCAAATATTTTAAGTATTTAGTTTATTGTTAATTGTCCCGCTTTAGTTAAGTGTTAGCGATGCGTACGATATTTCCATTAAAAATGCGATAAACTAGTTTTAACACTGACTATTGAAACTGTATATATATACATACATTGCAAAATCGGGATTACAAGGATAATGCTAGCTTTGACGCAGCCAAAATCGGTAATAGTAGATAAAAATAAATAAATATTAAGCACATGCATCGATCGATGCGTATTTAAGCTCTGGTTCTACAGTGTGTTTGAAAGCCCTTGACTCCTGAATTTTACTTTTTACTGTCTTAAATAAACACTCTGTAGAAACATTGTCGAAATATATAGTAAACACACATGTATAGTTAGGAACCAGCGCAAATTCGGTGTGCGCTTTGCTAGCACACGTTGTCCTTAAGTATATCTTGGGATTAAAATATATATATATGTGACCTCTGTGGCAAAAGTTCTATCCTTTTCTTTGGGATAAAGATAGAGGTCATCGTCTTGTTGTGAAGATTATATGGAGGATAAAGACCCGTTCAGCGTTTGGTCTCTCCAGAACGCATTTTCTCACGACTATCGCCCCGCTCGATATACCAGTTGTTATTGTTGCGTTTCTGGGCATGCTTGTGGCGAGCGTTTTCTCGCTGTTGCATCATCCGCTCGTGCCACTCACCGCTGCCACTATCATTGGGATCGCCGCGTTCTTTACTGTTTTCATTGGAGTTCTCGTTGGATTTTTTATTGTGGCGTCCTCTGTTGGACGATTGATCGTAGTATTTCTTTTTGCCGTACTCCTTGGAGTGATCGTGATCATTTCGGCTACGGCGACTATGATCCTGATCCGGTCGTCGTTGCTTCCGCTCGTTGGAGGAATACTCCTGTTTGTACTTTGGCCTATAACGCTCTTTCATACCATCCGCCAGTTTTGATGACTGGCCATGGGAAGTTGCTGTTTGTGGATCATTATTAACGTTTTCGTTGTCGTCGTCAGCAAAGGTGCCCAGCTTCTCGGTGACCTTTTCAAACTTGTGAAAGGCTCCAGACTGCTGTAGTACATCGTTTACGGCATCCCCAATCTCATCTGTTAGAGAATCCAAGTGCTGCTTGTTCTCCAGGCACATGCCAGCGATCTCAACAAACTGACCATCGGCACACTGGAACGGCTGCTTCAAGTCGTCCTTGGTGATGTCGACAGGTTTTACCGAATCACCATTGCCAGGCCAGGCCTTAAAGGTCTTGCCCTTTGAGCGGCCTGCGCCCTGTCGTTGCATTGTATCCTGACCAGATCCCAGATATTGAATTTTCTTAGACATGATGTCGATCTCGGCGCGAAGTAGATTGTTTTGTAGTTCTAGCTCACCCACACGGCGCTCCAGTTCGACCAGTGGTTTCTCCTCACCGAGGACCTGCCATTCCGGATTGCGGAGTTTGCCAAGAAAGGCCAGAATGGCCAAAGTGGCAGCCACATAGAAGAAGGCGGTTAGACCGTTCTGCACCAGAGGTGGCAGTTGTAGTTCAAACTTGGAGCGCACTATGGTCTTAGGATCTTCTTGTTCCTGCTCCTGCTGCCTTTCTGGATACTCTTTAAGCTGGCCAGTGTTGATAGGTGCAATCAGTTCAACAGGACTTGTTGGCAAATCGCTGAATCCCAAGTCCCCGAGAAGGGGTTCGCGCAGAAAGAGATTGGGTGAGATTCGATCGGTGCTCTCGCAGTCGCTGATTATCGAAATACCGTCGGAAATATCATCTGCCTGGGGATCGTCGGCCGCAGGCCTGTTGCATCTGCTGGAAGAAAAGATCTTTGATAATTCTCCTAAACTTTTGGTCAGTCTGAGTACAAACCTCTCGTTTTTCTGCTTATCCGCTCGACTGTTCGGCCTTAAATCCGTCAACTCCTCGATCTTCTCCACTCCATCATCCTTTTCCTTTACCACCGGCAAAATGGTCCACGAGTTTAGTACGGACGATGACGAGCTGCTCCCGAGAGACTCCTCGCTTAAATTGGACCTGGTCTTGGTCAGCCCATTGTCTTCGCTACTGCTGCCCTCCGTCTCCATCGCTGCACTGTTGTCTGCGAATCAGAAAAGTACACATCATCAGTTTTTATAATATAGGTATATTATAGTTTTTGCGAAATGCCATACAGGCTAGATTGCATTTAGTTTTTCTATTGTAATATTCCACAATGTTATGAAATAGTTTGTTTACAAAAGTAGTTTATCTATGAAATTGGATTGAAAAATTCTACAAGAAAATTTTTTATTATAAAGTTCTGATCAAATTTTTCCCTCAATGAGTGACAATTTTAATCTTTCTTTAATGTATCATGATTTCATTCATTCACAACTTGAGAATTCTGGTTGCAATTTTTGCCTCTTTTACACCAATCTGCGTTGTTTACCCGGGGCGCTCGGCTATCAATATACTATAGTTATCAGGTCATGTTAATATTTTACGTTTAAGAGATATAAGAAAAACAGGCACCTCGTTGATTCTGAAAATTTTATGCAGAGACACATGCACTTAATTATAGGCACTTAAATCGGAACGATTTATTTCTATCGTTCTATTTATAAAAACCGTTACAATTTTAAAAACAAAAAAAGGAAGATACAATATTACAAGATCATTGAGAAAAATAATATTTGGGAAGAGGAGAAAGGATTTTGCCCGTTATTTTGACACTGACCTAGTAAAGAAAATTTTGAACTACCATAAGACTGAGCGAGAAAGTAGTATACTTTAAACATGCGCAATTTTCAGTTAGAACGAGAGAGAAGGAAGTACCTACGTCATGAAAGGAAATTTTGGGGAAAATTGCAAGGTTCTGGTTTGGTTGATTAGGCATATTAGAACTTCGACCTTGGAATGCATGTACGTAAATGTACGTATGTATGTAAAAGACTGTCTGAATATATATCTTTCCGCAATAAAGTTAAAAACAAAGCCTTTATGTATGTACGAATCATGTGTGTTTGTGTGTGTAACTCCATTCGATTCGTTGTTATGATTTTGGTAACAGGCTAAACTTTAAATGCACTCACACCTTGATGTTTTCAGCTAATTCCGGTAGCTAATGTAAATAGTTAGCAGTTAGCAGTTAAACAATTGCTGCGACAATTATCTGCAGTGGTAAATAAATAAGTTCCAACCTTTGTGTGCACTAGAGGTGGAGATTCATCGATTGTACTATCGGATCCGATATCCGATATTTTGTATATCCGATTTAAATCGTAAAAGAAACCATCATCGAGGACTCAAACCAATACCTGGAACTCAACTGACTTCTAGCAATGTCATAAACCATTTAGGGGTTTTCAAGATTTCAGGACAAAGAATAAACAAATAACAACATATGTTTAGAGTTATTATAAGTTACTTAGTATCTGCTCACCTTATAATTGTTTTTCCATTATCCGTCGCACCTCACCGGCCTCTGAGCTTAGTTCCCAGTCAGATGCATTTCCCATTCTAGCCTCCAAATGTCGGCTTAATGTACTGTTTCTAGATGTCGGCATTACGGGTGCCGCCTTTATAAGACGAGGTGCTGGTACAGGATGAGAGATACGCTGGCGATGCTGCGGTGTCCAGTAGATCTGGCTGGTCTGTTGAGCCGATTGGTCTAGTATGAGCGGAGTTGCCCTGCCATCCTGCATCATATAGCCCTGGGAAGGCGCTGGACGAACGTACGGGAGATAGTCCACAAGTTGGGCCACCTGAACACCCTCACCCGTATCCACCAGTACCAATTGGTTAACGGGCACAGGCCTGGCCAGTGTCCCAAGTTGCTGGCTGGACAAATACTGTTCGGAGACATTGGAAAGCAGACTGTTTCGTTTGCTGACATGAGCGTAGATAGGAGAGGGCCCATCCACGACCATGCCACCGGGAATATAGCGCCCCTGGGCGACCGGTATACCCTGGGTACGGTGTGGTGCCTGTGGCCTGGCACTTTAAAGAGAGTAAAAATTTTAACATTTTAAAAAAGATATTATTAACATATATATCTGACGTTGCATGCTTATCGAAAAGGGATATAAGCTATTAATTACCATTGATCGTCCACGGAAGCGTAAGATACGGGTGAAACATCAGCGTTTGGTGGCGTGAGATGTCTTTTATAGACAGGTTGCATTGGCGTCTTGGTTTCGGGAATTTTGGTAATGCTTTTGCGGCAAAACTCCTTAACCTTTTCGAGTATCTCTTCGCGCGTGAGAAGACCACCGATTCGACGGGTTGCCATCTGTGATTGTCCCTGATCTCCTCTATGTCGCATTATCACTGGCGTCTGTTGACCTGGATTTCCAGTACTCGGCACTAGGTTATCCATAACGCTGTGACATCGAGGCGGTTGTTGTGGTTGTTGTTGTTGTTGTTGTTGTTGGATTTGCCTCTGCGGTGTACCATTGAAGACCATTAATGGCCGGCTGCGACCACTGATTCCAGAGAAAGTATTTCTCTGCAGCGTTCCGCGAACGAAATTTGTTTGCTCCGGCTGGACCACAACCTGGGTGTAAATATCCTCACTCGGTCCTCGTTTAATCGTATGTGGCATTTGTTGTCCCTGCAGTTGCTGCTGTTGATGAAGCTTGTGGTAAAGCTGGCGATCAGTCACTTCCTTGATGGCCCGCAATTGGTCCCATTGGTTTTGCCCCCGGATTGGAGTCGATGAAGCCACAGGACTTGCGAGGATTGGCTGTTCATGGCTGAATTGGCTACGATCCACTGAGGTGGAGCGATTTATTCGACCCACCTGTTGTGCTTCTGGCCATTGACGTCTAGGATTGACGCCTGGTCTCTCTAAAGTCGATCTTCGCAAAGTGTTGTCATTGTTTCTCTTCAGCAATGGTGTATCACCGTTTCTTATTGGCAAATTGGTGTCGCCATTTCTCTTTTGTAAGCTTACGTCACCGTTTCTGTTCTGCAATGTGGGTATATTGGTTTTATCGATTGTGGAATCAACGGTCGGAGACTGAACATGACCATTTGGTCGACGAAAGTTTGGACTTTGGCGCTCTAATAGGATGCGACGTATTTCGGAGGGGACATCCGACTTACGGCGATAATCCTCCTTTTCGGAATCGCTAAAAAGACTTCGTGGCATAGGCGTTTCCGATTTGGGAGTGGTTTTTCGCCGAGCTGGGAAAAGGCTGTTTGAGAGACGTTGCAATACCGATAGCTTCTTGGTATTGCTCTTTCGAAGGGCAGCCAGTGACTCGGCAACCTGTTGACGTCGCTCCTCGGCAGTTTGTACCGGTGTTGGAGTCCTGCCGGTTGATGGAGTTGGCGAGAATAATTCCCGTCTGGGCATTAAAGCCAAACCTTTGCGATCCAAATAAGCTTGGAACTCATCGGAGTTAATGGTATTGGTGAATACGCCCGGTGAGGGCGATGGCAAATCCTCAACACCGCTCATATCCGTTTTAACAGGACTCTGTGGAACAGAGGAACTGCCCGCCAATTCGTCACTCGACTCACTCTTCGTCAACGGCCCATCGATATCGTCGAGATCATCATCCGATGTGATCTGTAACTTCTTTACCCTTTCGTCAAATTTACGTGCATTTTTCGTTACTTCAGCGGGATTGAATAAGGCACTGCTTTCTGGATCGGAATTGGTGCCGGTGCGGATTTTCAAATTGGCCAACTCCGGGTAATTGGGTTTGGAGCACTTCTTAAATGTGGGCTGCTGTGGCTTTCGCAATTCAGGATTTTTCTGGTTCTGATTCTGGGTTTGATGACGTGGCTGTTTACCAGTCCTCGATTCTTTTGCCGCCTGTTTTCTCTTGGGCAACTTACCATTAGTTGCCTCCTTAAGTTCTTCTAACTTGAGACGTGCCAGCACCGTGGGATCATAAACAAAATAGGCATCCGGGTTTTTGATGTACGTTTTTACATACTTGGATTGCTTGAGTACCTCCTCAGTGGTCACATAGTCATCGGGTTGCGATTGGGATTTACTGATCTTATTTTTGCGAGTGTTGGACTCGTTCTTCTGCTGTTCCCGCTCCTTTTCACGTTCTCGTTCCCGTTCCCTTAGTTGTTGGGTCACTGTTTTGCGAACGCTTAGTGTTGATCTTTTTGTGGGCACCGGTGGTGGGGTCTTCTTGTCCCGATTTGAGGCAACGTTACCATTGCGGAATGGATTCTTCTGGTCGACGATCGGTTCGCCAGTGGTAAACTTTCGAATTTCCTCGTCGTTGGGATTAAAGCTAACCGATTTCTTTGTCTTGGCACTGGGAACTTCGATCGGATTCTCCTCCTTTGTCGAGTTCTTTATCGGGCTATCTTTCTCTTTGTTCTCCCCCTCCTCAGTTTCTTCCTTCTTTTCGTTCTCTAAAGTCTCGACGATCTTAAGAGGTGCAGTAATGTAGGTGTCAAGGATTTCTTGTTCTATATCCTTAATTATTTTCTGGGGATCTTGGTCAGTTTCTAAACTTTTTGTATCGTTTAGAGGACGGATTCCTTCTTCGGCTGTAATGGTGTCAGACATCTTTTGGAAAACTGGCTGGGGGATAGTAGTGAGGGGGAAAACGAGAGGGCTTGGAGTGGAAGAGAGTTGGGAGTTGATGTCGTCTGAGCGCCCACCATCGATAATGTTGTCTGGGGTTCACGAAAGGAAATCTGCAAATAAAGTTAACAGTTAATAAATATTTGTTTATTCGTTCTAAAATAAAAAAAAAAACAACTTTTCTTGCTTTTAATTCTTTTGAACCATAAACTATAATGCTTATCAAATAATCCCGAAATCAAATTTTTGAACAATGCTGCAAATTGTATCTAAGGAGATTAAATAAGGTTGCCAGCCTAGAATGAATTTATACAAATCCAAATATTTTCAGTACATATACTTTATTGAATCATTTTTATTTATACTTAAAAATGTTTGTTGATAAGGGTTATGCGAGTATTTTCCCAGATAAGACACAAATGCTAAACGAAGTAGTTGGCATGTGGATCATAAATATATTTTAAAAATCTGACAGCCAAAGGCGTCTGAAATTTTTTGGGAATTTATTCGCTTATATTCGTAGAAAAACGAATATTCGAAAACAATACTTTGGAATTTCGCATTGCAAATTCGGGCAATTGCCTAAATAGGAAATGAAAACCCACTCAAACAGCTTGGGAAACCGGGATATGTGGGAAATTGGGAAATCCGAAGGGCCTATGGAACACGACCTAGTGAGATCTTTGCTTTAAGGCTGAGACTTGTAATGAACGGCGCAACGTAAATGTAAACAAATCGCGAGGGAATGTGTAAAAACAACAAAACATGCACGCAGGCCACCTGATGACTGACATTGACGATAAATGAACAATCGACCTCAATAAAGGCAGGCGCACACATATGAATGTAAGTACGATCGAGTGTGTGTATATATGTATGTACGTTTATCCATTTTATACATATGCCAGGCAGATATCTACGTCTCGGGAATTTCACTTGAGTTGATCATTTAATTAAGGCCCCACAGCCAAACCTCCCCCCTGGCACGATCTGCTCCCCAAAAAAGGTCAAATAGCCACACAATGGTACTTGACTAGGCTTTTTTTTTTTGTTTGTATCCGGCACTCTTAAAACATAAACACACGAGTGCCACGCAAAGCTCTCTTGCAACCCAATTCTGCCACAGATTTTGGGTCTTTTTACGATGGTCGGCATCGTTATCTTTGTTATGGGTGAACGCCAATATTTAAAAAGCAATATTTATTAAAGTCTAGTTATGGCGAGAGTGTTCTCGTTTTAAAAATTAAAAACCAATTTCTACAACAAAAAAAATGTAGGAAGTTGAGAAAGGAAGAAAAAAGTATCTATTTGATAATTTTTTATTAGAAAAATTATTTAAAACCAATTGAACTCTCAGTTTTACTATAAAAAATGTAATTAGATAAACTGTACGTGCCGTTAATTGCCGCACTAAAAACTGCATTATTTGACTACAATTTGTTTCCCTTTTTGAAAAATCAATATGCATTTTGCAACCTACTTACTGTTTGCCTAGTATCAAATTCGCAAAACTGCGGTTTGTTGGCCCGAATAAGCATATATTTATCCACTAACCCAGTAACAATTGCCGCGGCCAACTCGTGTCAAATGATGTGGAGTCGGGTTCAGTTATTGGCAGAGAAACTTGCTAATTCAGTTGCAATTATTATTGCTCAGAGAATTACGTGACATCTGATGATGATTGATGCCGACCGCTGAATTGCGGGGGCATTTGATTTTCCAATTGATTTAAATCCAAATGCAAATACAGCAGCCGGCTGCGCGATAATTTGAATACGAAGCTCAGATCGACAAATCTACCGACCGGGACCCCAACCACATATGTCGGCGTCTCTAACAAACAGGGTTGCCTCATCATCTGTAACTTGAGCAACACACTCTAAAAAGTAACTGAAGCCAAATGCGAAGCTCAGAAAGAAGCCAACCGAAATGGTGGCAAAAACGCAATTAAAAAGAAAACGACCAGTTTAAAGTAAATTTGTATATATGTACGGGTATATAAGAGGGGTATCTCAGTTACTTAAACAAATCTTGATATTTTAGAAGTATATTTTCGTGTATTCTTATGAATTTTAAAGAATATTTGCTGAAAACTTATCACGTTCATTACGTCTATCTCACAAATTAACGCTAGAGCCCTTATTTTTGACAAGGTTGTGATAAGAGGATATCTGTTAGTCGAATCACACGGTCATAATTCTTGTTTTTTTTTTTTGCTGAGCAAGGGCCTCGTCATCGTCTTGCCAAACTCTCGCATGTTGGCAAGATATATAGGTATATATATGTATATATGCATACGTAAGAAGACCAGGCTGAGCCGTAGCTGTGAGTAATTCCAAAGGTTGAGGTATACTAAAATGCACATTCGATCAGCGTTTTGTGTCGAACTAAGCCTGTTAGTACGTTTCCCCGGGGCAGCTGCTACGGATCGATCGCTTTTTTTTTTTATGTATTTTTGCTTCCAGCTTGCAAAAGATTAAGCCCAGCGATAAGATAGTAACCATTATCTAAGCAAATATATGTATGTACATATTCGTACATTCTCGTGAATTTCGGTTCCCCTATTCAGTAATAATAATTTGAATTCTAATCAGAGCGGAAGAGGGGGATGGAGATAGCCCCCAATCAGACATATCTGTTTGTAAATTGTGCAGTTTCCCTCCACTGTCCATTTATGCCGATTTCAATGTGTAATTTAGCATAGAATCGAGCAATATATGTACATATTCTCGTATATTCACCTTGAATTCTTAATTGTGATAAATGTTGCATGCTATTTTGTATATAGTTATGTCTATGATACTATATGAGGTAGATTTTCCATTTACGTCCAATACATATACAACACAAATTGTTTAATTTTAATTCGAGGTTTCAAATTGTTATCTTTTTTTTGTTATAATTTATATAGAAAGTTAAAACGATAAGATAAATGTATGCAGATACCCGAAAGTTAATTCATTTTGATTTATAATAGTAACTTTTTGATATGTTAATATTTGAGAAAAAATGCATATACATATTACCTGTGCACTTGGTTTTGAACCCTGAAAGTAGGACGGCCTAGATACTGAGCCACGAAGCCAATTAAAGAAGCAACGCGAAAACCAAAATATTTAACTGGAACTTGCGAAATTTGGATGCGTTATGAGCACAGTAGGCACTGGCGCTAACAAGATTATTTTGTGTGGGGGAAAAAACACCCACTCAATACAAATATCTTGAAAGGGAAATAACCCCTTGAACAAATCAAAAGAAAATTGAACGCAATATTACACTCAAAAAATGCAATATGATTTGATTTTCTTTTACATATATTAAAAAAATAAAGGAATGATTAACATCAATAAAAAAAAAGTGGGTTTCGTTGTAAGGCAACATTTCTGAGCAGTGTTTAAAATATTAAATGAAATAGTTTTCATAAGAAGAGAAGTAGGATAGTTTTTGTAGTGTACGTATACAGCTCATAGTATCGATCGATTTATAGCATAAATGCTCTGCTTACCACCACGGAATTGGGAATTGCATCCCTAATTCCGCAATAGATTTCCAAATGGATTTTTGTTCTTCTTCTTTCGTAATATGAAATCCAATTGGGAAGAGATTCCGTAATGAAGGGAAACTGGAAAAGATATTAAACTGCAGCCTCTGTTCCTATTTGGCTTTTGCCTTTTGCTTTTTCTGGTTGGACCTGGGTTTTCTTGCTTTTTGCTTTATGCTTTCGTCATTGTTATGGTTATTTGCTGTTGCTATTGCTATTGCTTTTTCCGTTGCGCACAGTTGGGTTAATATTTCGAAAAATAGGCAGTAATTGTGTGTCTCTGCCACCATTTTGTGGTTATAGTTAAGTTTCAGCTTGCTTTGGTTTTTCTCTTTTTTTTTTTTATACATATATGTATATTTTTTTATGTTTAATGCTTAATGCGCCTCGCTTTTTTCCCGTTGGTTTGTGGCAGCAAAATGGAAAAAAGTGTGAGTTGGTATGGTGAAGTTCATTCACCGCGGCACAACCAACAACCAACTGACAGATGCCAATAAGAACATCACAGTTGGTCTTTAACCAAACCCCCAAAGGTTTTATGTTTTTCTTTTTTCACAAACTCTTGCTTTAACCCGCACTCACAACTTACTCACGTATATAATACAAGCAAATACAACAAAATAATGAGAAAAAAAAGATACAAAATCATATACAGATACAGAGATACACACACTCGCACTATAACGTTCGCTTACTCACACAACCACTGTAAACAATCGGTGGTTGAGATCCCCAAAAAACCCCCTTCCTCCTTCCTCCTCCTTCTGCCCCGCCACCTCCCACCAACCAACCTCCGAATCCACCACTTTTTCTCTGTTTTGAGTATTATTAATTTCGCCGTGTTCGTCGGTCGGTCTCCTCCTCATACATTGTGTTACAAAACGGAAAAAAACAGTCGAAATTTTGCCGTACTTGGGGCAAGAACAACAACAACAAAAAGTTGAAAAAAAAGCCAAATAAATAACACAGATGCAAAGTCAGTCACACAACACAGGGCAATAATACAGATACGATCCGTACTTTTTGGTGTGATTGTATTTGACTTTATTTTACGACTACGACAATTACCTAAACAAACGTGAACAATAGCGGCGGTACTACGACGACGACGACGACAACGGCAACGGCGGCGCGCACTTAACAACAATTGAAAAAAACAGTACTCCGGCGTTCGGCAACGGAAAAACCAAACAAACAAAAAAACACGTCCGCTCACCACAACAGTTCAAAGCGTTTTGAGTACCGCTCCGCTCAGCTTGGAAATAAACACAAAACGCACACGCGAACAGTAAGCGGCAAAAACGTGCTCACAGCGAAAAGAGAGCATGCGCAGAGAGCCAACAGAATGTATCTCGCTATATTTTTAGCTCTGAGGGATTGTCGTGTTTACAGCCAGGTTTAAGCTAAGTTTTTCCGATGACCTGACCTACACTGGCAGAAAAGCTGACTCGTTTTAAGTCATGTATATCTTTTTAATAGGAGATTCTTACAGAAAATAATGAGGCTTATAAATTACTTAAAAAGGTAGAGATATTTATTCCACAATATTTATGCAATTGTATTAGTTTTTAACTTCTTAGTTGTTACTCTATGTTATATTCTTTAATTATAACAATGATTTAGTGAAGTTTTCATTTATTATTTACTGTACTATAAATGCGGTTCTAATCTATCTAATTATACTATTATTTAATAAGGCTTATACAAAAATCAAAAATAAGATCTATATATTTTTATAATAGTTTTCACAATTCTTTTCTTTATGTGTTGATTGCAGTTAGATGAAGATCTTCTTGCAAGGACATTGAATGGCCTTGCCACATAGTTGGACTAAAGAAGTTGCCAGATAGATGGGTAAGCTAACAATTAAATCTTTATTACTTATAAACCAATCTTAAATTGAAAAAATTTATGTTGACTAAATATTTTTAGATAGATATATTCACACTGTCCTAATTAAATTAGAATATATTTAAAATTTAGTGTAGTTAATAGCTGTGGCAACTCTCCTTTAAACAATTTTACACAATGCGGCGTTTTCATGTAGATAATTGTTATTTTTTTTTTAAAGCGCCATCCAGCGGTTTACACTGACTTATAGGCAAAGCGCTGCGCAGCAGTATTTTTTTTTAGAATTTTTTTAGCGCCATCTGTTGAGTATGTCAGCGAAAACATATTTTGTATTTTCTTAGTATAGTTTTAGGCTACCTGACTTTATTTATTCTTTCTACCAATATGAAGAACTTTTTCAAGAACTTATTAAGTTAAATATTAAATCAAAAAAAAAGGAGTTGTATTCGGAAATTATCTAAATTCTTTCCCTTAATATTTTTATGAATTTCTTAAAGAACATTTTTCTACAGACATAACACTGAACCAAACACTTGCTCCTGTCACAAAACCTTTCTTTACCATTGATTTTACATTATAAGGGTGTTTAAAATTTATATGGACACTTATTAAACTGAAATAAACAGTAAATCTAAAATTAGCATAAGAGCTTGGATTAGTGTGAGAACTTTTTTAAAAGGCGTAGTACATGGGCATACCTCAGGGTGATCCCTTGACATTGCCAAAGGCATGGCCTCTGTTCGCTTAACTGGCAATCTCCGCGTAATGATGGCTCCCAGGACTTAGTCGGCCAATCAATCGATGGTCGCATAGAGTTTTAAGAGTTTTCCCTCGGTTCGCTTAATTCGGGGGTTCGGTTACGGTACTCGAATTGGGGATTTCGATGGAGTGGCGGCCCACTGTTTTAGGTGCCGGCGTATCCCATCAGCCTCATATGCATATATGTATGCTTTTTTTTCTTCTGTTTTTCATCTTTGGCTTTAGCTTTGGTATTAGCAGCGACTTTGACTTTGGCTTTACCTACATAATTGGTCTGGGGTTGGCCTGACCATGGATGGTCCATGGATATGCTTACATATCGTATCGGATCGGTTCGCATTGGATCCGCATCGCATCGTATCGTATGCCGACCAATTTAGGTGGGCCCCCAATTTAAGTGATAATGATTATGCGTTTGCGTCGACTTCCCATATTCATTCCCAGTTAGGAGTTCAGTTCCCAGCTCAAGCCAAAACGCAAACGTTCAGGTCTTCGATGAATTCGAAATGTTAAAGCCGATGGTCAAAGCCAAAACCAAAAACCAAAAATCAAAAACCAAACCAAAACCAAAACCCCGAGCCGAAGCTATGGAGTTTACTGTGATTTGTGGTTAGTTGCAGCTTCTGTGCTACGTTTAAGCCATTGGAGCTGTCAGGTCTACGTTTGACTTTAAGGCTCATTACGTCAAAAAGAGGCAGTGAAAAAGTATCGTTAAAAACCTTTGGCAATCTGTGGGAAAATTCTCTTCACCATAATTTGCATTTGGGCTCAATTAAAGTTTGCTGTTGCTGTTGCTGTTGCTGTTGTACCCCCGATACACAATATGGACATTAACAGGAAATTGATGTTATTGTCCCGAAACCGATGCCATGCACTTTGCATTTGACCACCGCCACTCATATGTGAACACGAATTAGCTACCTGAACTATCCAGGTGTCTGGATCACTGATCCCTCAGTATTTGGAAATAATGCATTTATTCACTCTAACTTTCTTAAGTGTAATAACTTCTCTTATTCTACATATCTGGTAGTATTTTCATAATTTTTTTTATTGAAATATTGAATTTTAAGAATTCTATGCTGTAAAAAGAAATGTGTATCGTTGGAAAAACTCAGTTTTCTAATAAGGAAGATATTCCCTTTGCTTCTCTTCACTAAATAGATACCGGTCAACGGTGATACTTCATTTATATTGGCAATCTATGGCGTTGTGAAAACTCTGAATGATCTTGCGATTTTCCAAGCAGGCATTTAGTCTACACATATAAAGAAGGCACCTCCAAATGCAGAGTTTAATATCTGCATTATTACATCCCAAGAGAGAACCGTGAAAAAACCATAAAAAATGAACTTGTAGCCAAACCCACGAGCAGCCATCCCACCAACGCCATTTCACCGAGTCTCGCCGATCCAGTATCCAAGTATCCAGGCACCTTTCAAGTTGCATTTATGCACATAGAGCGCCAAGTCCCGCTCCACCCAGCCGTCTTGAAGCGGCAGATGGAGCTACATAAAGCAGTTTGGGCCCAGCATTAATGCTCCCTAAGTTAATGAATACTGTGTTTCATAGCCTGACGCAGAAGGCTGAAGTAGTCTTTTACAGCTTCCGACTGGAATCCGTTTTGGGCACTGAAAATCAGCCTTAATATAGCCCACAGAAGAATGCACACAGAGAAAATATAGTTTAATGTTTTATTTTTATATATTTTTTTTTATTTTTTTATATTGCAAATTTTTCTTTTTTCTATTTTTATAAGAAAATATTTAAGAATCCTGTAAAAAATTGCTTTAATTGTGGATAATCTTTTTTATATTTACAGGGTGACTGGAAAATACAATAAAACTAACTTCATCTGCCTAAAATTTATACATGGTAAGTTTACAAAAATTCTTTTTAACTCTGAAGTTAAATTTTCTGTTATACGAATAAGAAAATATCTTACTATTTAAACATTATTAGTATAATATGCTTCAATCTTAACAGTTAAACGGATTTATATACACTTCATTAGGGCAGATATTAAGTTTAGTTAGTAACTTCAATGAATTACACAACTTCGATAGAAGTGATCATATTTTTTCTTCTCTGAACTTGGGTTTGCCAAGCAAATGGATTCCAAGGAAGGTCGTGCACTGCAAAAGTGCCGCCGCCGCCGACCCATCTCCTCCGCAACCTCATCCGCACATAATCATCATCATCGACATCCACATGCAGCATGTGGCAGCGAGCAAGTGTAGGCGTAATTGTTTTATGTTGATCGCTTTGCTACCCAAACTTTTTTTTTTTTTCCTTCTTACCAGAATTGACTGGATGATGACTGGATGTGGATGTGACGATGTGGATATGATATGATCTATAGATGTAGTATAGTAAAACTGGATCTGTCTTTAGCTGTCTAGTTATGTCGTTTTCCTTTTTATCTAACTGCACTTGATCCGCCGAGCTTATTCGGCTGTAGCTTCCTTTTCCATTTCGTCGTGAGCGAGCCAAAGTAAATGCAAGAACATTTTCAATTTTATGCTAATTAGTTTGAATTTGTTTCGGCTAAAAGAAAGGCAAGAGAGGGCCTGCAGTGGCAGAATTGCTGTGAATAAACGCCTACCTACACAGATAAAAAAAGTCTATGATTTTATATTTTTATTTTATATTTAGATTGTTGGTTTAGGTTGTTGGAGATGCCGACTTAGCTGGGGTACATATTGAGATACTAGCAAAAGTTTCTAATATTGGCTATTATTTTAAATAAATATTTATGACTGATTGTGTGTCAAAAGATTTTGTCACATTTAATACCTTGAGTTGACATATAAAAATTGAATTATATATGTCAAGAACAAAGGATATATAAGTAATTTTCCCATCGATCCATCATGAAACTTATTTCTTTGGTATTTTTCTATATATATAAAAAAACACAAACAATACGAACCGCATATGTGCCACTTAAGAAATCAACAATAATAACTCTGAATAAAGATAAGCCTTTAGCATGGGCATTGGCAGCGTCAACCCTTTAGCCCTTTTGTCTTTTCCGGTGACTGGTGGAAAACTCTGGCTTTTTGGCTACCCCATGACCATAATTTGATCCAGCCCAAAACCGCCCACACATCCATCTATGTATTCGCAACCTGACCCTCTGCTCTTATCGCTTTAATTCCAACGGAATACATCGAATTAAATGCTTATATGAACAAAAAGGTTCTGGCACAGCCACTGCTGGAATGTCAAAGACTTGGAAGTTGTCAGGAAACAGAAGCTATATAAAATATCGAACTTTTGATGCTCTATTAAGGTAGGAATTGAAATGGGAATATGTTCTGTAGAATATGTAAAGATTTTTCTTACAAAAAACTACAAAATATTTCTAAAGATTTCCTTGGATTTGTTTTGCATTTCGTTGTTTTAAGAAATGATTTAATTCACTTCAAATAAACTTTTTCAATTTTTCTCCTAACTCCTATAGTTTTTATACTCTTAGTTAGCTTCTTACCTTTTGGGAAGTGTATTGACCAATAAATATGAATAAAAAAGATGGTTTAATATATTGCCCATAGCTTCAGCTTCAAATACAGAACGGGAAGTCGGAAAATGCCAGGACAATAAAAGCAGCAAGAAAAGGGACCTGGGTCAGGTGTGTAAGCCTTAGCGGTTAAAATCGCATTGACGTGTGTGCCAAAAGAGCGTAAAACCTCAAACACGTTGTTAAACTTTTATGCGTTACAGTTGAACCGGAAACGGAAATCTAATAGACCAAAGCATGCATAAGTGATGAAGCGAGAAAAGGTGGCCAAAAAAAAAAGACCCATCACCCATCACATTCGAAAAAGGACGAAGACGGAAAACCCTTTTCAATGCTGCCCAAAAATCTTATCAGCGGCCAAAAGTTTTGCACGTCACGTCTCCCACTTTTGCCGTTCTAGGGATTTTCATTTTTTTTCTCCATCATTTTTGGTTCCCCTGTTTTTAGGTTGACCTCTGGAGAGAGCAAAAGGGTCGAGAGGCGGCATCTTTTGCGAAAACTTTGCAAAAACCTTTTGTTCACCACCTATTTCCCAACCAAAAAAAAAAAAGTATGTGTAGATAGCTTGGTGGATGGGCTGGATGTTGCGTGGCATGGCCTTGATATTGTGAACACATGTTACGGGGTAGATTACCTTGTCAATCGCTTCGTTGAACGATTACTTTTCAAATGTTGGCAACTAAAAGCCAGGCAAGGGGTAAGAAAAAAAAGATGCTAAGACATAAGTCCAGACCCAAAGAGATTGCCAAAGCCATCCGGTTTTTGGCAATAGATTCACGACTTCCTTCCTCCTTCATCAGAAGTAAAAAAAAGACAACAATATATATCTGGAATATATACCACATCACCACCTCGAGGATCGGATGAGATCGACCAGATCCCAACAACCGATGCAGCGATGACATTGTTTTATTTCTCATTTCACAGGCAGTACAATAAAACCATCTTGGTGTGCTCCACCGACGGTAAATGGTTTGGTTTCGTTTGCCTGCCAAATCCGCATCATTGCTTCCAGTTGCACCCCGTGGTGCAAACATTGGCGCCCGGGAATCCAATTCAGGCCGCTCTGCTGGTCTTTTCCTGCCAAGGTGTAAAATCGATCCCCTACCGTTTGTATATTTTGCTTCAGTAGGATTTTGTTTTGGTTTTATATTAATTTCGATATTATGAAAAGGACTTCGATTTTGCCTATTTCAGTTGAGAATATTTTACATGGAATTCCAGAAATATCTAGGGTTGTATGGTTTAGATTATAAAATTTAAAAAAGGAGAGAGAAAATTAAGAAAAAACATGTCACACTTAAACCGAATTGAAGCTCATTGGTTAGGCGACGAGGCGGATCCAGGCTTATGACGATGGAGGCAAAAGGACCCGGGTCATTTGACTCGCTCTTATACCATTTAAATGGATGTGACGACAGGATGCCAATGATCGTGGTCGGCCGGTGCTCGGTGCCATTTATTTTCGAGCAAGTCAATTATAAATTATGATTACAGTGATCACAACGTTTATGGCATGTGGATGTGACATTACATTCCCATCGCGTTCGCTTGGACTTATCGTACCTCGTATCGTACCTTTAAGAACGAACTTTGAGCTTTCGAGCCGGATATTCAGAGTAGTATTGGTAGTGTATGTATGTGCAGGGGGTGTAAAGACCGTTTTTACATAGGCCATCAAGTATCGCCAAGTTAGCCGGTCACAACATTTTTGTCGTTAATAATTTAAAATGGACTTTTGTGCTGTTTTGTGGGCTGCATTTCATTCTTACCGTCAAGTGGCCGTAACGATTTTAGACGATTGACAGCTAAGAAGCGGGTGTTCACACACACACACACACACACACAAACACACACTTACACCGCGGCTTTTGCCCTTTGTATCAATGCCGACAGGTCTGCAGCTGTTGTTGGCCGTTGTTACCGCTGTTGTTGTATCTGTCTCTCTGCTGCTAGCCAGTTATGTTTGTCATATTTTATGGGCCGGTTACGTCTGGCAGCTCACTGCTGCCCCGACCGACCCACGTCCAATGACCAGTACCCATTGTCGTCCCGGTCGAAGCCCCCAGATTCTCTTCCTGTGGCCACTGTCGTCCACTGTCTCCAATGGCCAGCCGCAATACCGAAGTCCGCCCCCTTTTGGTACGAGTGATATATATGACAACGGATTTTGTTTTAGTGGCATGGGTGACAATCCCTTTAGAAACCTTAATTTATTCACGCATGTTGGCGAAATGTGCCCCTTACACGCAATTCAAGAAGAGCGGCTAGTCAATGCAAGATATCTTTCCAAAACGAAAGAGGCAAAGACAACATAATGGCGGGCAGTTTTCTTGAGATATTTTTTATACATATGTATATAAATGAAAGAAAACTACCATATAGATTTATTATTTTAATATTCATGAAGGTTTTGAGTAAACTTTACTTTTTGAATTACAAATTGCTTAGAAGCTCGTCTTAGAGCTATCATGGCGGATGAGTAATATAGTCCTTATGTATTTGAAGCTGTTGATTCTTTCTTTTCCATACAATTAAACGCTCTTCATGTCGTTTCTATTAACTTTATTAACACTAAGTTCACTATTAGTCAACTTCTTAACTAACCCTCATGCCAACCTGTTTTGGCAAGGGTGTGTATATCACATTCGCTTGGTCTAATTGACTGCATTATTTATGAGATGCGTCCAAGACATGGGATACTTGGACATTTCAGGAACTACAGTGGATAACCGGAAAAGGGGTTGACATATGGTGGGTCACTCGTAGTGCTCAATCACTGGTTTGGGGTGGTCAGTGTCTGAGAGTTCGAAGATATGGGTGCTGGGATTACACTAGTTCGTCTTTTTTTTTATCATAAAATATTCAAGAAGTCAATTTACCATAACGGAATGTTTGCTGGATTTGCAATCCTTTGGGTCTACACTATAAAAACATATAATCGATTATGGTAGAAACTAAGATTTATGTAATTGAAACAAAATGTGTATATATAGAAGTTTTAGGGATTTCTAAAAAATAATATATTTTTAGAAGAATTCCTTATAGGAATGCCCAATATTTTTCTCTAAGTGTAATATACATCTTCAGTGCCTTGCCGATTGATTTGCGAGACAGCAAAAGTAGTGAGGTCATTAATTAAATGAAAACTTTTCGGATATACATATGTGTGTGCTGCGCCTTTTTTGTTAACAGCAGAAATCCAACAGGAAGCCTTTCGGGGCATCCCCAACATTATTAAATCTATGCTGTGTAGTATAACAGGGGCTTTATGGTCCCTGAGAGTCACTTTCCAGATTCAGAATCAGATTCAGATTCAGATACGAATCAAAGCCACTCGCACATTTGTGATATACACCAATCTTCGCGCCGCGTGAATCTCGTCCTGGATTGTGGAGGGGTAAAAAAAAAAAATAAATTACTTTAAACGGTTCCGAATAGCAAATTGCTGATTGTCATTTCAAAAGCCACACATATCAGTGTCAATGACTTGGGGGGGAACCTGGACGTGGACCTGAACCTGAACCTGGAGCTGTAGCTGGAGCCTGTGACTGACTCTGGACCTTGCCAGATTATGGTCTTCGGGGTCTTGAAGATTGGGAAACCGGACGCTCTGTATGTGTGTGACTGAGCGAACTTTAAATGACGAATGACCAAAGCAAAACGCAGAGTGAATCGGGATCACAAGATGTGAGGGCCAGAACGGCAATAATACGAGCTTGGAACGACGTGGACGACGACGAAGACGACGACGATTCGCGGGAATTGAGATTGGGATGAATTTTTATAATTGAGCTGAGCAGATTTTTTAATCCCTTTCTTTGGTCTTCTGCTAGTTTCGTTTTCAGGCAAGAGTTGACCCAAAGCAAAGGAATTTTTTTGGGGCCCCTATAAAGGGGGAAAATCTTCTCTGTTAAGAGGTCAAAAATTATAGAAATTGGTTTCAACCTTTATGCGTTATTACAAAGTAATAACTTAATGTGATAGATGACCGATGCAAATGCTGTTTAGGTAATGAAGTTGCCAATCTCTTCATTTCTAAACAATTTACAAATATTTTACGATATATAAAATGGATTAGTTGTGATTAAATGGCTCCGTTAACTATCCGGACCTTATACAAATCAGTCAGATTTTATGGTTTTTTCTTTTTTTCTTTTTTGGGAGTAGATACATCCGCACATATATTCTTCCCCGATCTTTGTCTGAGATTGACTGCAACTATTTCAGTGGGTACAGTAAACTACCGCCATTGCTCTGAATTATTGACATCTGGTCCCATGCCATCAATCTCGCAGAAGATTATAAAGGACTTTTGGTGTTGTTGGTGCTGCTGATGCTGTTGCTGGTGCAGTTTGTGCCTCGTTTTTGTTTTTGTATTTTTTTGTGCTTCTGAGCAGCCAACCTTCTATCACACAGGTACACTGCATTCGTGGAGTTGTTGAGCTCCAACTTTAGCCCCGGCCAAAGGCAATTTCACCGTCTGACCATCGATCCCTTCTGTTGAAGCCGCATGCGGTGCACTATACTATAACAAACTATAGCCATAGCTACCTATACCTATACTATATAGTATACTATACCAATATGAGAGAAGAAGTTCGGTTGACGATGCTGCCAACGTCAATCGCTGGACTTCAGTTCAGTTGGATGTTGGATGTTGGGGCGGTGGAGAACTGCCATCGTATCGAGAGCGTGTAGCAAAATTCGTGCCGTGACCGCCCCTTTCAATTCTGTATTATCAGATTAGCTTTTTTTTTTTTTTTTTTTTTTTTTTTTCGTTCATAAGCCATTTGTTGTTGCAGTTTTTAGTAGTTGATGCAGCAGCAGCAACAGCAGCAGCCGTTGCACTGCACTGCAGTAATGCTATTGACCGCCAGCATTAAATTACGATTGGGAGTCGTGGCAGCCGGCCACAAGATGCCTATGATGCCGATGATGACACTGCTCGTTTACGAGAACTCTGCTGGGTTTGCTGTTGGTATGCGTTTGGGGTCTTTGAATGTGAATTAGACTCGGGTTAACGTTCACTCCACGACAGGTGCACTTAAAAAAGCAGTGAAGTCAGGCTACGAACCAAAAAAAGAAGAGTTAGTAAGTAAGTACCTACGTCAAGAGAATACCAACAAAGGAAAGAAATCAGTATCTGGAAGCGACGTGAACTTACTCCCGCGATTAATCAAAGGATTTTAGTGGAGTTCTTTTGTAAGATAGATCCGTTGTTAAAAAAGAAATAGTATTGAAAATCAGTTTTAAAAGTTAAATATACCTTTTGAAAAAGGATTTCATTAAAGTCTAAAATATTCGATTACGCAATGAATTATGAAACAGCAATTTAAGCATGCGTATAAGTAGAGTTAATTTAAAGTTTAAAAAAGGTTGAGAAGAAACCATTTAAAGGAATAAATTGCCGTGCCACATATGTGTTGGCTGTTGTTTGGTGCCGTTGCTGCTTGTTTTCTGCGTGTTTGCTTCAGGCTTAACGATAACATTGTGGCAATTTTATTTACCCACAATCTGTTGTTTTCCTCATAGAACTTGAGACCCGGGGCGCCATCAGAGCCAAGAGCCAACAGCCAAGAGCCCAAAAGCCAGGACTAGCAGGAGTTAGAGTTGGAGTTCGAATAAAGTCAGTGGCATAGACACAGGGACCCAACGAACCGAGTACGAGTCCGAGTCCGAGTCCTGCCAAACAGGAAGGAAGAGAGCGGATTTCAGCGGAAGGAAACACTAAAATGTTACTTTAAATAAATTGCACCACACCGGAGGCTCTGCTATTTTCTAGACACAAACGCTCCTGCCCTCAAAAAGGGGGAGGTCATTGAAATGGCTATGGTTATATGGCTATAGGGGCTATATGGCTATATGGCTGTGCCCGATAGCAATGGCGATGGCGATGGTGTTACTACCATACTGGGGTTGGCCGGGTGTGACATGGCCAACCACACACGGATACGGATGGCACCTATATATCTACACCTATATATATATATATATACACCCATATAAGATACGAGCACACCTTATACAACCTGCATGTGCAGTATCTACTACTGGCGCACTGCATTTATTTATTTGGACACTAACGCCCTCGCAGCCAGGGAAGCAAAATTTACGAGCTTCCCTTAATCGATCTAAAATTAAACGGCTTGCTGGAATCAACCCTTTTGTGTGGTAACAAAAAACATGAAAACAACAACCAACTTCCACCTTCATGCATTTTAGCTATCTGCAATCCTAATTGTTATCAACAATTTGCAATTCTTCTTCTTCAATAAAACTATCGCTTAAGGCTCTCAAGTTCATCCGATTTGCCTTTTTTCCCGTAAAATTTGTATACAGTACGTATATGCTTTAATTTTTGTAATTGTGTTTTGAATCTTGACTATACTTATTTTGTAATATATTTAAGAAACTATACTTACTTTAATTTGTAATATATTTAAGAAATATTCATAAAAATATGTTGAAAAACGTAGATGGAAGGGAGGAGTCCCTCGATTACCAGATACTTATTACTTTGTTAACCAATTTTCAAATAAATACGCCATCAACAGATGGCGCTTTTTATTTTCTATATTTGGGTTTTGAATCTTGACTATACTTACCTTCACTTAAGAAGATTCATAAACATGTGTCAAAACGTAGATGGAAGGGAATCCCTCGACTATCAGATACTCATTACTCAGATAAGCAAGTTTTAAATGAATATGCTACCAACAGATGGCGCTATCTCCAATTCGATTGGCACCTTCTGTTGTTGAAACCACACATATAACCATATGGCGTTATCTACCATGGTTAAGCCCTTTAACATTATATTCTTAATAACTACTGGATAGCTCTAGGATCGGTTTGCTTAATTTCGAATCCAGCTTTCTTAGCTTTTGAGGCTCTCTTCGTTGAATTCATAGATGAGCCTATCTAAATCTTCTAATAATTCTGGTCCCCTTTACTTTCACTTTGCTTTCTTGTTCATCAAATTATTTGAAACTTTAAAATATTATCGAATACCCCTCATCCCATAGTGGTAAATTTGGTTCTTTAAATCCCTTAAACAGTTTGTCTTCTATCCAATCTTGTATATAATCATATGATCTTTTTCTTTCTCAGTTATAGGACATTCTTTTTAAAGAATCGACCACTTTGATTCCAATACACCCAAGTTTAAACAATTGTTTTAAGAATTTTCAGATATTTTATTGCAAACATATATAGCTTAAATATGAGTTGAAGGTATTTGTCTGGTTACTGTTTTCAGAACTAACTAACCGACTACATAATTACTTTAGGATTTGTTTGTAATAAAAAAAAAAAAAAAAACAACAAAACTTTATTTTTCGATTTTGGATCATGAGGACTTTTAATGAGTGATCGATCCTAACTACATACTACGCCTATGTAGTTCGGTAAACGGCAATCTGCAATCAAATTTTGTTTCGTTTCCTCATATCAAGCGTTTCTGTCGTTGTTGACTCATTCTATTTGCATTCCCATTGCCATCGTCATATCATCATATACAACACACTTAATATTTCAGTTACAATTAAAAAAAAAAATTATATGTATACGTTACTCACGATACCAGTAGGCGCTGCTTAGTGGCTATTTTAACTTACATAATCGAGTATCACTAACAATATGTATCGTTATTTATTTATTTAGTACTTGTTATTTCTTTGCCATTTATAAATTCTCTACAACACGACGCTTGTACATCAAAACATCAGTTTTTTATAAGTACAATTTAAAAAAAAAGGGACTCATATATATATATATATATATAATTTTCATATATTATATATGTATACATATATTGTATGTATATTTATGTATAGAAAAAAAAATGCTAGTTGATCCATCTAAATATTTATTATTTTAGCGTTAGCCTAAGTGAAAGTATTTTCGTATTATGAGCGGCAGACGATCCTCGATCTTCTCGATCTTTGATCCTCGATGTGAGCATGAGCAATATAATGCATCTTGTATATCTTGTATATGTATATATATCCGATATATCTGTAACCATATACGAGTATATCCGTATATTTTCATATCTGCATATCTGACTTCCAAAAGTGTTTGTGCGCTGCATGACATGAGGGCTCTTAGTGATAAAATGCCAACGCCTTGGCATAGTACGAGGTACATGGTCATGATATGCGATCGGGACTTTGCCGCTGGCCCGCCTCGGTCTCGGCTCCCGCCAATCCAGCTAAACCCGACTCCGCGGGATGCGGATGTACACAGTTATCCGGTGATCTGGACTGTGATCGTGATCGTTTCGGCGGTGGCGTTATTGAGTGTTGTGAATTTGAATCGGAGGAAGTGCGTCGACAGAAGGGACTCAGTCCACCCATACCGGCATTACCAGCAGCACCGGCTGCCAGCATATGGGGCGTTAGTTGGGGAAAGCGTGGCATACGCGGTAGTCCTGCAAATAGCAGTGGACTCGCACCGCCGCCGGCATGGCTAAGCAGCAGACGGTGATTTGGTGGTGTGCTTTCGGCGACCATCGGATAGCCATGCCCGGCATGTCCAACGGCAAAGCGATGTTGCAGTGCCTCAATGCAAAGCGGTACATTCAGTCCATGGGCATGGGCACCGGCACAAATGCGGGCGAGAATCTCTGCCTGAATGTTGCCCACCGCTGGACCAACATTCACTCCCGCCGATGATCCAACCACTGCCGAGTGCGGAAACCCGGCCTTATTGTTGTTCAAATTGAGACTCATCAGCTCGAGCAGTGGATCCGTGGGCATTACGGGTGCATGGAGTAGACCATGATCATCGCTGGTCGACAGCAGTTTGCGATGCAAATTCAGATTCGAACTGTGACGATCGCGGCTTCGCTTCGAGGGAAAAGCGGCGTTGCAGCCATCTATATTGCACTTGTGGTGCAGCTTGAGATGGACACTCTGGTGGTGCGTCTTAAGATGAAAATGATTTTGGAATATCTCACCACAGGCGGTGCACTTCAGTGGGTTCTCCTTATCAATCGGCACCTCGGGCACTTCTGTTTCTGCTTCCGGTTCGGGTTCAGGTTCAGGTTCCGTTTCCGGTTCGCGCTCTTCTAGATCACCCAATCTTAAACCCAAACTCAAACCATTACCACTTTGCCGGCGCACGCAATTGTTATTAATATTATTATTATTATTGTGATTGGCAGTCTTGTCGCTGGACTCCTCCGCCAAGGACTCATCGCCGCCCATTAGCTCCTGCTTGATGCGTACATAGCGATTCTCGTCCGCCTCGTAGTTGATCTCCTCCAAGGGTTCCAATTTAATGGCGGCCGCCGCCCTTGAAAGATCAAGTGTATTATCCATCGGCGCCTCATTCTCATCCTCTGCCTCCCGTTGATCTTGAGGGACAGTTGGTCGCCTCGTTTCTTGCTCCTCTCCCCGTTCCATTTTTAGTTCCGGTTTGGTTTCAGTGCCAGGTTCATGTTCGCGTTCTGATTCCGGTTCATGTTCTGGTTCCTGATCCTGTTCCGTCTTGATGCAGAGACCCACCGGCCTGAGATCACCGTAGGGTGTGAGGGGTGGCGATGGTATCGACTTAGTAGACTCGCCCACCTCTGTTTCTTTGGCGGATGCGGCGGCCTGCGCTGGCAGACGCACCTTCTTAATGGACAGATCGGCGGCCACATCATAGTCTACCGAATTTTCACCAGAATTCTCATCCGATTGTACTGGACATCGAACTGGATTTTGGCTTTTGCGTTTCCGTTTATTGGCCGCCATTTGGGCGAGGGTTTGGGCGTGGGCATGGGCATGGACATGGGCGTGGGAATGGGAGTGGGCGTGGGCGTGGGCATATGTGTGGCACTCCTCAAGGCCAGACTGAACGACCTTGCCCGGACTGGATTGCTCTTTGGTTTGACTCAGGCTGGAAACCGCCGACGTGGAGCGCTCATCGCTCTCATCGTTATCGTTATCATTATCGTTATCGTTGTCATGGTCCAGCGGAATGCTGTCTAGCTCATCGCCAACCACAACAATGCCATCGGGATCATCGTCATCATCGTCCTCATCGCCGTCAGCCTCGTCGTCATCATCATCACCGGCCATGTGGATGCCAACCTGAAATTATAAATCGGAAAAATACGAATAATATAAATTATACTCTATAAAACATGACGACAACACGTCGGATGAGTAACATTTCGATTCTTCATAGAATTGACAAATCTCTGATAATGAAATGATGTTTGCCGACGATTTTAAGTTAATATAAAATAAAAAAAAATTTCAGTGATTTATATTCGTGTGTACCCACCTCAAGGATCTCATCGTCATCCTCATCCTCGGTGTGCTCATTTTCCATCGTCAGCTTGCGGCGCTGTCCCTCGTACCGACCGGCATCCAAATAGGATCTCTGCAGATAATCCTGTCCATGCTTCAATTCCAAAGCTCCGACACCGCCTCCAGCTCCTGAGCCCGCTCCCGAACCGCCCATCGCGTGATGACGCAGATCTGGCGGTGGCGTTAGCAGCGGAAAACTTCCAAAAGGCGCTAATCCCGCCATGAGGCCGTTGGGCGCCTGAAGCAAGAGCGGATGCGGTTGCGCACTGCGTCCATCGTGCGGTGAGATTTTGCGTCTCAAATGCGGTGAATGCAGTTTGGGATTCGGATTGGCACTGTGCCGATTTCTCGAACGCCTTGAGCTGAACATCATACTGCATCCATCCACCGTGCACTTGTGCATCTCCCTCAGATGCACTGCCGAAAAGTGAATCTTTAGAGCACCCTTGTCGCAAAAGGTCTTTAAACAGACATTGCACTGTACCCTCTTTTTACCCGTCACTGGATTAATGAACTGAGTGCCCAGATTGGCGGGCATTGAGCCCCATTGCCGCTTGCCACCGCCACCAGAACCGCCACCATTCCCTCCAGCTCCACCGGGCGAATGGGTTTTTCGGCTAGATCGCATATTGGAGGACAAGGCCAGGCGGGTCATTCGCTGTGAACTAACTCCCGAATTGGATCCCGAATTCGAGCATGATCCTGAAGCGGATCCCTTATCGCTGCCTCTTTGCTGCTTGCCAGCGGATTCTTCAACTGATCCAGACCCTGAACCACCCGATCCTGAACCAGAACCAGAACCCGATTGATGTGGATACTGGGCAACTCCTGGCGGTGGCGGTGGCGGTGATCGTGAATCAGGAGGCGGTGGTGGCGGTGGCGGTGGCAGGTGATAGGCCATGGCCATTGCATTGAAAAACTGGTTACTCCGGTGCAGGTGGTGTTGATGCTGCTGCTGTTGCTGCTGCTGATTATGATGATGGTGTCCGAATTCCGTGGGACTCGGCGGCAATGGTAATGGACCACCAAAGGCGCCCAATGCCGCCGCCGAGCTGATTTTACGAAAGTCAAAGGGTTGCATATTCTGCAAATCACTCAGCGGATTCATCGGATTCTCCGTGGGAGTACTGTTACCCGTTCCAGATCCGGTACTACTACTATTATTCCTACTAGCCGCCGATAGCTTTTGCTGCAATTGATTCTGCAAATGCAGCTGGGCATGTGCCAGCTGCGAAAAGTGGGCGCTCATCGATTGTGCTGCCGATTGTGAGTGCGACTGCGACGACGTCTGCTGGCTGCTGGAGCGGGACGGCGAGTGTTGACCACCGGCGTTTGCATTCAGGGTGAGGGGATGGCGCAACGGTAGCGCCAAGGGCAAAGGATGGGGATGCGGATGAATCGGGTGCGTCGTTAGGGGCAGCGTCGGCAGGGGCGGCGAACTGCGTCGGCTGGGGGTCATCACCATTGAAACGGATTTGGGGCTCAGGTGCAGGTCCCCTCCAGTTGGTGGTAAATGTGGGTGATGGTGATGGTGGTGGTGCTGGTGATGGTGTTGTTGCTGCTGGTGGTGGGGGAGGTGATGGTGGTTATGTTGCCGCTCATGACCTTGCAGTGGGTGGCGATAGGAGGTGACGGGCAGGTGGTATAACAAAGAAGACGACGACGGACTAACCGAACCGCCGGCGGCTAAACGATGAACTTCAGTGGCGGCGGCGACGGCGGCGGCTGCTGCTGGACTGCTCGACTGCAGCTGAGGATGCGGATGCGGTTGCGGTTGCGGATGCGGATGAAAGTGTGGATGCTTTTCGTGGCCAATATTCATCAAGCGGCGGGCTTAGGAACAACAATTAATCTGTAGACTTTTGACGATACATTAGACTAGATGCGGCATTTAGGTTTCCAGGTGCTGTGTTGTGTTTTGTGTTGTCGATTCGCTGCAAGTAATGAACAAAAAAAATATATTAGTTAATCGGTAAACTAGTTAGATTTTTAGTATATATATATAATATTATAAGACTAAGTATATACATAAATTAAATCAATTTTAAACAAACTTTAAGGACGTTCTTCTACATTAAAGAAAATACTTCCTAAAGCAACGCGAAAAACTGTAACATGTGTTACATAAACCATATTTGTACTTGCTCCAGTACCTGGTTTAATTTGAATTAATTTCGCTGTAGTTTATAGTGACCGCGCGTGTGTGTGTGGCATTTAACCGATCTAGGGAGCAGTGTGTCTGAGCGCCTCACAGCTAACATATCTTCCTACCATCTCAAACATTGTCAAGGAGTTTCCACCGAAACCGCCTAACGAAGTGGCCACAACTCAACGGAGCGGGCAATCGGACCTCCCAGACGCACATCATCCACAACAACCACAACCGTGCATACACGAGTACAGATGATTATTGAAAATAAAAATAAGAATAATGATGTGACAAATTCTGAGTGGTCACTTCACGTCTTTACAGCGGCGAGTCGGCGAGGCGACCAGAAGAGTCCGAGGAGCAGAGGGGACACTTGTAGACACACACATATATACATAGACGTTTATGTAGAGAGCTCGGCGTGACATGACAATGTGATAGTGTGTGCAGAAGACGCTCTTCACGCTGTCGTCTACGGCCACTTCAAGTCCCCATGTCACATTCTTCTGTGCCGCACCACCACCACACAAGAGCCAGACTCAAGACTGCCGATCTCCCTGAACTTCGCCTCCTCTTCGATTGCTTCGAAACGATACAAAACCGATACGATACGAAACGACTAGATCCGAATCCCAATACGAATCCAAGTTCCGAAAACGAATTCATATCGATTGATAAGGGAGGGGGAGCTCTGTGATCGTGATATTCAACTCCACTTCCACTTCCATCGAGATGAAGATCGAGGCCGAGAGATCGCGATCATTACGCGCGACCTCTTGATGATCCCATGTGATGAGTAGTGCCATGCCGCTTGCGACGAATACTTTAATTGACGAAGACGACGTACCTTTCTTAACTTGGATTATAATATTCATTATATGGAGTACTTTTAGATTAGTAGGTTGTCCTAATATTCGTAGTAATGTTTGTATGATAAAGAACAGTTCAAAAAGTATTATTTACAAAGTATTTTATAATTTTAAACAAGAAATCTGGTCAATGGCATTGTCCTTATTTAAATTAAGGAGTCTCCTTATGCTAAGAAATATTCCAAATGGCATGTACAAAAAAAAAAACTGCTATTATAAAAACATTCACTCCTCAACTGCCTTTGGACTATGCCATTTGGCATTGGGGAACTTTGCATGATATATGTCATCTTGGCAAGTAATTTAAATGGTATACAAATTGTTTTTTAATTGCCACCTGTTGTTGGGGCTGCTGTTGTAACGACATTTATTACGATTCTGTTCGGCTCAGATCTGAATAAGGAACTGTCGTTGTCGTAGAACCGGAGATGCACGACGCTACGCGACAGTCTCGTCAACGGCAGCTTTTAATTGCTTTTGGCTGATATTTAATGTTTTTTTTTCTTAGTTATTTTTATACCCGTTACTCGTAGAGTAAAAGGGTATACTAGATTCGTTGAAAAGTATGTAACAGATAGAAGGAAGCTTTTGCGACCCTAAAAAGTATATATATTCTTGATCAGGATCAATAGCGAAGTCGATTGAGCCATGTCCGTCTGTCCGTCCGTCCGTCCGTCCGTCCGTCCGTCCGTCCGTCCGTCCGTCCGTCCGTCCGTCCGTCCGTCCGTCCGTATGAACGCTGAGATCTCAGGAACTATAGCAGATACAAAGCTGAGATTAAGCATGAAGATTCTTGAGGTCCCGGGACAGCGCAAGTTTATTACAGCATCCTGCCACGCCCACTCTAACGCCCACAAATCGCAAAAAACTAAAATTGCTGAAATCTCAGGAACTATTGCAGTTAGAAAGTTGAAATTCAAAAAGTATAATCTTTAGATGGCAGCGCATCTTATAGTGGTACTACTATCCGGCCACACCCACCCATACGCCCACAAGGCTCAAAAGACGGTTTTCGGATTTTCTAGAAAAGCTGATATCTCGGTAACTATAAGAGATAGAAAGTTCGGATTAAGCATGTATGTTTCTATAATGCTCCCAATGCGAATTGTTTTTTTCCAATCACGCCACGCCCACTCGAACGCCCACAAAACCCGAAAAACCAAAAATGCAAAAATCTCGAAAACTATAAAAGCTACACAATTTTGCTTAAGAACACGTATTTAGGAGATGCCTCTGCAACTTGCCACGAAGTTGCATCCGGCCACGCCCACTCTAACGCCCACAAACCGCGGAAAACTGTGGAGTCTATAATATTATTATGAATGCCTTCGTTTGACCTTGTGTAACTTATTTTTGTTAATATCTATCGACTTACAAAAGATTTTTTAAATCGGAACATTATTTCGCTATTTATGAAGAAATTAAGGTTATAAGGCTCCACATGGGCAGTGACGTCACTATAAGCATACTCAACATACTTCCTCTGACAATAGGTGGCGCCTTGTGAATTTCCACTAGCAAAATTTATATTTTAAAATTGTGTAAAACAGTAACGGGTATCTTATAGTCGCGGCACTCGACTATAGCGTTTCCTCTTGTTTTTTTTTAGCCTTGTGTATTTGTGATTTGACACGTTCCGAATCTGAGAGAGTTCTCAAGTTCTGACCAAACCAGTTTTCCCTCGAGTTGTGTGTATCTGAACCCATCTGCTCTGATCACTACTGATTGCATAAAAGTGACAGTTTGCAGTGCGCGAGTATTATTGGAGCTTTGTTGTCTGCCTATAATTAGGGTTCCGAGGTCCATACTTGTTGGACAGCTTTTCAATCTTAATTTTTCCCAACTGCGGAAGCTGAGTTTGAAAAATTAAGTCGTCTTCTATTGGGTTTTTTTCTTTTACGATTTTCTAATTTAGTAGTTTCCTAAATTTTAGGCAAGGATAAAATCGTTCACGTACTAATTTAGTAACCTTCTTCTATTCAATATACTAAAGTACAATAAGATTTACTACTTAAGATGACCCCCAGATCGGCAGCCTTCTTTTATGACGGATGCATCACTAAAATTTTGAGATCTCTACAAACCACTGGTCATATGTTCGTTAACCAAAATCGATGCTGTTGGAAGCAATTTGTATCCCAAAGTTTCATCGGCATTTATGAAGGAACGACGGACGACGTTGAGAACTCCTTTTAATTTTGTATTTCACATGAAACTCATTTTCGTCTCTCATAACAAAATTGCCGCTAAGCTGCGAGCCGAGCTCTTCACTACTTCGTATGTCTTCAGCGAACAAAAGGAGAAGAAAAATGGCATTCCAGACACCAATCATGATTATTATTGGCTTTATCGCATAGAATCGGCAGCGGCAACAACCAGCACCCGTCATAAGGCATATACATATTTTCTTAACGCATTTCCAAAGTCATAAAGCAGCGGCGGGGTCATAAATGCGTGTTAAAGTCGAACAACAGAAATTCTTTAAGATGTCAACCATTAAACGCGAGAAAGCCGATCCGATTCCCTCGGAATCGTTCGTTCTCACAGATTCAAAAAAAAAATAAAAAAAAAAGTCCCACAAAAGAGACCCCGTCTTCCTACTATTTTGTAAAAATTTATTTATGAAACACATTAAAAGTGTCAACACGGCTTGCCGCACATGAGATATGTTTGGCAAGTTGCCTCTCTGTCAAAGCCGATGTTAAAACCCCTCGGATTCGTTTTTTCCAGGTCTCCACCAGTAGTAGTAGTTTTAGTAGTAGTCGTCGTCCCCAGAACCCATGGCACCACTTCAGTTCTGATTATGAACGCCTCTGAATCGCCCCGACTTGCTGCCGAACAGGGCTTAACAAAGTGATTCCAACAGAAACGTACTACTACTCTGTTCGGTGTTCCTTTTTTTTTTATTTATTTTTTTTTGTTAATATGCAAATCCCTTGTGGGATCGTTGACGAAAGCCGCTGGGTTGTGCCCAGTCGGTAAAAAGAAAAAAGAAGATGCACAGAGAGAGCGCCAACATTGAGCAGTGTTCAATGGCAGGACACGAACACGAACATGGGCTCGGACCTAAATCAGGGAATCCAAGGGTCGGCAATTGGGAATCGGACTGACTGCGTTTGGGCGACAAAATGCAGCATCCATGCAGAGAAAAGATTTTTTTTTGGTATAAACTTCATGTATTAATGTTTTCCTAAAAATAATATGGGAGTTAGAAGTATGAAATAATATTCTAAAACTATCGAAGTCCAACACTAATATATTTTGGCTTATATTTTTGTAGGCAAAATTGATCAAAAATAGTTAGCAAGGAGAACTCTTTGGAGGAGCAGAATATTGGTTAGCTAATAATATGGGTAGTGGTCAATTTTTCTACTACACATAAAAAACATTTGTGTGTTAAAACGTTCCATTTTAATTAAATAAACTTGACTAATATAGGGGAAAATTTATATTTTGCTATATAAATTATTACTGGATAGAGATTAAAATTCTCAGCAGCTAGAGTCAGTCAGATGATCGTTTAAAGTTTAAATGTAAATATAGTTTTTAATTTAACTACAATTTTTATTTCTGTGTATGCTCTGGCGCTACTTGGGACTTTGGCCGACTGTCGCAGTCGATCAGACGTGATGTTTGGGTCGGTCTGCATAGCAGGGGTCCGCTCTTTGAATGCTCCCCGGTTCGGGCTCCCCGTATCCTCGGCCTGATTCAGTCTGGCCAGAATGCTCGTAATCCGGGGCTTAGACTGTGTTTTAAGTGGATAGGTCGGTTAGCCCTCAAGCGCAAACACGATGCCGCATCAACATGATCGGATGGAAAGTGTGATGTTGGGGCTACTGGATCTATGGGTTTTCTGTGTAGCATCTGCTCTTATAAATATTTTTTTCTTTATGAAATGGGAGCGTTTAAGTGGAAGAATCACTGGTTTTCAGTTCATGTTTAGGAGCTTCAGATATGTTTGGGTTGACAGACAAGGAACTTATTTAAAGTGATCACAAATTGGTATTTTAGTATTTTTGTATTTTTGTTTTCTTGAGATTGATATTTGTATTCGATTAGTTTTTTTTAAAGCCGGGCTGTTTTGTTTTTTTTTTTCCAAAATATTCAATTTTAAATGGTTTTTTGTTTATCATTACAATTCAATTCTTCCCAAATATGTACATATATGTATGTATTTTTTAGCAATGGAGTATTATTTATTCAACACTCTTATCTTTTAAAAAGATCATCGATGGGACACTAGCGATCTGCCTGGTATTTTTTTTCTGTTTGTTTTGTTTTATTTACTTATCGATTTTTGGGGCGTCACCAAGATGATGTCCAAACTGCGACTTGAAATGCGGACCAGCCAGCTTTGGCACAGGCTATTCAAGCCATCTCATAGGCTTGGCCGTGGCATTTTCGGCCAAAAGAGCGACTCTACCGAAAGTACGCCGAACTGATCTCAAGTAAACCACAAAAGCCATTCTTGTTTGTTGCCGGGAGCAAAATCAACGATTGATTGAAGTTAAGGAAAGGCAAGGAGATTGGGGCTCAAAACTTTGGTTGGCCACAAAAAAGAAAAAAAAAACCGAGGCTAAAAAAGAAAAAAAAAACTGATGATAAAAACCGAGGCTGAAATCGAGGCGGCGGCTTTGTTCATCTGCTACAAGCATCGCATTTAATGAGATTTATATCAGTTTTTAATAGCTTTGTGACTCTATTGTGCTTGGTGGCCGTATCTAAAGCAAATCTGGAGTCATCTTGTCGGTGCGATAGGGATATACAAATTAGTCTGCCAAGACATTGTCGAAATAATGGCCTAAAAGTGACCGGTATGAGGAAGTCGAGGAAAACTCACATATATCTATGATACAACTTACGTATTTGTTTAGGCCGTGGACCGACTTCCTGAAGTGCGTTGTAGAATATATTTATAAGTCTTCGGCTTGGTAGAGTATATATATATAGAGAGAGAGTATCCACGGCAGATCTGAAAAAGATAGAGGAGAAGAAAAGCAAGTGGTTAGCTATAGTCTGTCTGGGCGATCACGATCTAACAACAAGTTTTGATGATTTATGCCAACACGTCCGTCAAAATGTCAAATTCTTGGGCACACATCAACAATTCGACACATTTCACACATCGATGCCAAAAACCAAATCTTTTAGCTACCGAACATCGATTCGGGATTGCCGCAATGCCCGAAGTCAACTTTATTTGTATTTTCAAAAAAAAAAAAAAAAAAAAAAAAAACCCCCCACCCCTTTTGAAAATTGTGTTAATTTAAATCAAATGACAAAATATAATAAACGACCATAAAATTTAATCCGAGTCTTTTCTAAAAAGGTACGAAAAATGTGCCAAGTGCTTTAGCACACAAAAGTCGTAGAAGTCGACTAATGTAGTCACTTTTTGACTGAAATTGATACTTAAATGATAAATATATATGATTCAATCATATTCTTTTCTTATGTAGACTTTTAATAGATTCTTATTTATATTTCCAGTGTCAAAACTCTAAGCTAAGCTATGGATGTATAAAGTAAATCGGGTGGAACAATGCAAAATGACTATAATGTATTAATATTCCAATAAGCTTTGAATTCGAAAAACGTGTTTAATTCTTTAATTTCCAAAATATGAACAAATCTATCTAAAAAAAGAAATAGGACGAAAATGTGATCTCTAATGTAGAGTGTTTGACATTAAGCAAGTCAACGTATGACACAAAAGCGAAAAATGAAAACCAATTAAACAAGCTAATCATTTTATTGTCATTAGCACACCGGCAGCAACAACACATACAAAGGGAAAAGAAGAAGTCAAATTTAAACGGCTTATTAGCAGTACCATTTAGGTGTTATCGTCAGTTATGGCCATTGTGTGTTTGTAAAGAGAAACCCATGTCTATGGATAGGCAAAATATAAATATACCCTTAAAAATAGGTAAAAAGCGAAAACATTGTTTCATAAAAATCATATTGAATCTCTACAGACAGATTAGATTTTTAAACACATTTTTCTGTAATAATTATATAGATTTGGCATCACTTCGCTTACAGTTTTAGAGTATTCATTGTATCGACTTCCAGCTTGCAGACATTTATTTGTTTACTTATCGTGTGGGTTTATGTCTTGGACAGTTAACAGTTTTAACTGTGCAAACATTGGGGTAACTTATTAGCGGAATTATCAGCTTCGTACACGTATTATATATGTGACAGCAGCGCATGTCAACCAGGCAAATCAACAGCCATCAAATATATAGCGAACGGGTCTGATAACAGCACGAAAATATGGCATCATTCAACTTAAAATAGATTCAGTTTTGAAATGCATATTTGTTAGAGGATAAAGGATTTCAATCTCTCATTATTGGAAAAAAATACAGTAAAACTGAAAAGTGAACTTTACGAATTGCAAATTTAAAGTTCGTAAAAAAAAGAGGAAATGCCACATAGTTAGTTGGACTACTGAAGTATTGATTGATTAATGAACTGGTATTTCGTCTGAATTTTTCATGTATCCGGTACTTTTATTTCCCCTTCTTGGCTGCTTATACCCTTGACCAGAGTGCCGGTCTTGATCCTTCCGCCCAGCACGACTATTGCTGCCCCGTTGACATTGTAATTGAATCAATAATAAAATCAAAATGTACGACGACGACGACAATGACACTTGGATTTTGACTCCAACTTCGATTACGTCTGCGTCTCCGTCTCCGTCTGGACACAAGTTCCTATCCTCCGTGTCCGTGTCTGTCTCTGAATCCATGTCCGTGTTCGTTTCGCTGTCCGTGTCATCGTGTCATCATTTCAGCATTTCAGCGCAAGGAACGGCAACGTCACCATCGCCGGCTCTTGAGAGCCGGGACCCCCTTTTCGAATTCCACTGAGTATATGGGGTGTAGGCATCGAACTTGGTTTACGATTCGGCCGGGTCAGATCTACACCATATATATGTATATATATATTTACACAGAAAGAAATGTGTGGAATTTTTTTTTTTATTTGATAAATTAATTATCGATAATGAATGCCAAAATATACTTAAACTTAAATCGTTTAAACAAGTTACGACCTTATCCATTTTAAAACTTCATTTGAAAATAGTTTAATCAATCTAACTTCTTAATTTGGCTTTGATTTATCTTTTCTAAAATTTATAAAAAATACCAAAAAAAAACTTCCATATAACTTTTGATCGTAAAAGATGACCATAGAATTTCGTTATCCTATAAATCACATCTCTGGTCTTCTGAGCCTATGTGAATTGTAGGTCATAAAAATATTGTCAACAGAAAAAAAAAATCGAGGGGTAGTCGACTTTATGCAATAAAATTGACTATAAAATCGAAACTGGAAAATGACTAGAAATTTTTGTGACACCATTTAGCTAGTGAGCTTTTGTGATATGGCTGTTGTTTCCACCGTGAACGTCAATGCTCAATCAATGACTTCGACTGGGCTGTCTGACTAGCAGACTTTCCTCGCCGAGTGCATGCTTGTGTCTTTCCTTTTAGAATTTGTTATAATGTGTACGAGAGTATATACATATTTCATTTTTTGAACTGTCTCCCTGACAGCCCACGAACGTTTTGAGTGACGTACAAAACGATGTCGTGTTGTCGTGCCACGGATTCGACTTCGCGTTCGACCAGGTTGACTTTTTGTCGTTTCTCCTCCACTTTTGCCGTATATATATATGACGTTTATATGGCGTATAGTATATATAGTCTCAGTCAGATCGACGGACATGGCAATGGTGACTTTGACTTGAATGCGCCAAGCGAACGATTTCTCGAGTGGGACGTCAAATCAGCTGAACTTTTCATTAAGGCCTTTTGAAATTCGGCATTAACCCTTTCGGTGTACCGTCCCTGCTGTCACACTGCCTTTATATGTAACCGTTGGTGTTTTGCCAGTGATCAGGGGGAACCCATTAGCAGTTGATCCACAGCGTACCAAATCAAACTGAAGACGCTCGACAACAAACGACTTGACTTTGTCAGCGGCCTGACAATCTCGCATAAATCATAATAATCCTTTGCTCTTTTCCAACTTAGGCAATGTGACTTCTAATCATCAGGGTTGTAAAATTGGCGGATTTAATGCCAGATTTTCGGATATTTTAATGAGCTTTCGGTGAAGAACTGGAAAATATACACTAAGGATTTCTTTTTGAATTTGTGCTTTATATGATTTCAATTTGATACATTTAATATTATAAAGTTAAGGGCCCATCTGTTTGTAACAGACAAAAATAATTCCAAGTGCATATTAGGTTTTTCAGTATTTTTTTGTTCGGAAATACTATTGCATTATTTTTTTTTTTTAACATTTCCTACTATTTCATTTATATAATGCATATACTTATAATCTAACTCTTCAAAGATCCTTTCTAGTTAAAGTTATCACCACATTAATGCTAACAATACAATGATTTTTAGCTTATTTCTCACTTCTAACTCTTTTCAACACTGGGCCCGAGGTGTTCAGACAGGAAAAAATACCAGGACAGGGTCTGGAAGTGGGACTGCAATTGGGGACCTGGCATTGGCCTGTGCGCGTTTAAGTTTTTTTTTTTGAAAGGCAGCCGTCATGGCGGTGTCAGTAGTTTTGCCGGCCGGGCGAGCGAGCCAGGCCTCATACTGGCAGACAGTCAGTCAGCCAGTCAGTCAGTCAAGTCAGCGATTCACAAAAGGAAACACTTGAGAAGTGAACATGTTAACGGGAGAAATAGTTCGTCGCCGCCTCCAATCCAAAGCCGAAAGGCCGCAAAGGAGCCGCTAGAGTATGCTCTATGGTATACCGTATATATATATAAATATATATATGGTATATGGTGGTGTTTTTTATAATGCTGCAGGTGGGGAAGAAGGTGCATATTGTGTCGCCCGAGCCCAAACCCAAAAACAACACTTGCGAGAGTCACTCGAGAGCTGTCAATCCGAAAAAGCTGGAAAAAAACTGCCAGCGAATAAGGTAAATACAAATGGGCGGCAGACGGCAAAAGATAACGAGTCGAAAAAAGTCAAGGGTAGCGTCAAGTCGAGTGGCTCCAGTCCCCCCGCCCAATCCCAATCCCAATTCGCACAATTCCCAATCCCGAATCCCCGAATACCATGCCCAATTCCCAGCTTGCAGTTTCGATCCGAAGCTGGATCTGGACACACACTCATCGTAGCTGGAACGCGGCGCAACGTTATTAGCTCTCGTACCAGTTTTCATCCAGGGGCGTTCCGCTCGGAGGGCATTAAATGATTATCTGGCTCTGTCATGCCACTGAGATCGGTCTCGAAAATTATGCGAATTTCATACTTTAGGGGGCATGTTCTCCTTGTTTCTGTCTGGTCTGTCTCTTGTGTTTATGTTATTTCTCGTCGTCTTTTCAGCATTCATCTTCTCCTGTGTCCTGTGTCTTGTGTCCTTTTCGTCTTTTTTTTTTTTTTTTTGTTTTAGTTTAAACTTCTTCATCTGATATCGATATTATAACTGGTCGATATATGTGTAACCAAACCGATTTGATTAAGAATAACAATATTTGGCAGCAGGTGTAACTGAATATTGTTGTTTGTTGTTGAGTTGGGGAAAAGGGAGTTTACTGTAGAAGACACTGAGACATTCTTTCAAAATGGCCAAAGATATATGAGAATCGAATTTACGATTGATGAGCTTTAATCCTCTTAGCATATCAATCGTAAATTTTAATATCACCTTCCTTGGCCATTTTTGCATCTTAAGTAGATTTCTTAAGATTTATGATGACTTACTGTTAGATACACTTTTAAAAGTTTTACTAGAAATTGAAAGTTAACTTTCTACAAGAAAAATGATTCTCTAGTCTGAATCGATAAGTCATTTTATCGATAGGTTTTAAATATATATACGATATGATAAACTTAGACTCAAACATATTATTTCTAATTTAAGAAACGATTTTATTGTTTTTCCTTCATCAGTTTTTATAAGTGTATTCGATAACGTCAG